GCACACAAAAAAAAAACCAAACTATATACACGTGCAATAGGTCCAAGAGGCAAATCAATTCCACAAATTATCTCTGTTCCTCAAACTCAAGTACACAATTCCTTCTCAGAAACAAGACTCCCGTTTGAATGAGTGTATTGTGCTTTTACACACCTGATCCAGCCATCGCTGAGTTAATGAGCACCCAGAACCAGCCAATAAAAATGGCTACAAGCGACACCACCACTTCTATCCACATGAAGTGCTGCCGGATTTACCTTCAGTCTGAAGCTCACCAATTTTCTGTCTCCACACTCTATTGCAAAACATACATGTGACTCTGATCCTTTTGAGTCACCAAAGGTAAGTCTCTGCTACACAAACTAAATCCAAGAATTTGATCATAGAAAATATGTTGAAGTCATTAAACCCTGAGAAACTTGTTGCAGTGTTTAGTAAGTTAATCTTACAATATTGTAAGAAGTTAAATCAACACTGAAAGGAGGAGTGTCTCACATTGATAGCCTTGTGTCAGACTTGTCTCAACTTGGTAGAATAATTGAGGTTTGTCTTGTAACAGAAATAGTTATTTCTAACAGCTGCTAGAGATCACTGTTCAAGCTCAGGAAAAAGCCAGGATTTCAAATGCTGATTTTCTAGAGGGTCTACTGTATCTCACTGAAAAGATTAGTGTAGCACAATGTTCTTTACTTTTGGTTCTATTTGGCCTCATTTCATATGAAGCTAATAGATCAGAGGTCAAGTGGTGTTCCTTGCAGCTGGTATCATATAACCCAGTATGACTTGTCACATTAATTGGAGAAGAGAAAAGTACTTTTAAGTTCATTGTCCCTCCTGGTATGTTGAAAGTATGGGGGAGGGGAGATTAAAAAGTAAAACGAAGACGTTTCACATTATTTGGATTTGTTCCACATGATTGTAAAATCTCAAAGTGTTTTTATATCATTCTATGTACCATGTCCCTTCAGGACGTTGGCAATCACAGCTCTTCACAACTTCTTGTCCTTTGTAACTCTTTAAAAATTTTGACTTATCTCTTCTAAACCTTGTTCTACCATACATTTACTCGCTAGTTAAGATATTCATTTTCTTGTCCCTTTTGCCTTCAATATATCATGTGAGTATCAAGTTTTCTAAGCCTCCTTTCCTCATTATGTAACCTCGTTACGTCTGCATGGTCTCATGCTGTCCATTGACATGAGGTGGAATAAATACATTGAATCAAGAGCTTCATCTACTGCAAGGAAAGTTGGTTCTTTGTGTCGTGCCAGAAAGTTTTTCTCGTCTGAGTCCATCCTTCAAATCTATAAATCAACCATCTGTCCTTGCATGGAATATTGCTGTCATATATGGTCTGGTACTCCTGCTGTACATCTCAAGGTCCTTGACAAAATCCAGAGATGAATATGCAATGTGATAGGTCCTGATCTGGCATCTAATCTACAATCGTCTTCCCACAGACATGCCATGGCTTCCCTCTATCTCTTCTACAAGTATTTTCATGGCAACTCTTCTGATGAGCTACTTTTGATGGTTCTCAGACTGCATGAATTTAAGCAAGCTACCAGTCTGGCATCTCGGTCCCACCCTTTCATTGTCAAAACGGTTAAATGTAACTGTCTCTTCTACTGAAACAGCTTCTTCTCTTGCACTTCCGGCCTGTGGAATTCCCTTCTCCTTACTTGCTTCCCCAATGACTATAATCTTCAAATATTCAAGTGTAATATCAATCGACATCTGACACCCTGAGCTTGTTCCCCATATTTCTCTGTATCCTTTACTCTTGTTCTCAATCCTCTGCAACCCCTTGCGTGCTAGTGGAACTCCTGCCTTGGTTGGGGTGAATTGCTTTAAAAGAAAAACACACACAACCATAGAAATTTCAACTGTTTCTTCCTGATGTCAAGTATAAGTGTCCTTTTTGTATCCATTTTCACTAAAACTTTGTCATTGCTCAGATTTGGTCCATCACGTCCTTAGGATCCTTCTGTAGAAGAATGTTTCTCTTGCATTCAGATGCTTCATCTGTAAGGAAACTGTCCAGCATTCATTGCCATATAAGAGTATTTGATATTACATAACAGTTCAGTATTTTTCTTTGTTTCTAACAAAATTTTCCAGTTTCTTAACACTGCTTAGCTTTTGGAAACCATCCTTTGCTATCCCAATAGGACTTTGGATTTCCATTCTCTGTTAAAACAATTCCCAGATATTTAAATTTTTTGTTTGATTTTGGTATTTCCAATTTGTAATTTGAATGTTGGGCTGTTACTTTTACTAATGACTGTACATTGTCCTCTTGCAATTGATGTTTTGTCCTTTTTTTCTTGCTTTCCCTCTCTACGAGTTCTTGTAGTACCCTTTCTGTGTCTGCTATCAATACTATGTCATCTGCATATTTTATGTTGTTAAGATTATGGCCACCAATAATGAATCCCGATAGGACTTCTAATTCTTTGAATTACCCCACTGTATAAGTTGAATAAGTCCAGTGTGAGAAAACACATCCTTGTCTTACACTCCATTCTATTTTTGTATATTTACTGAATTCATTCTGTATCCATATGCAGGTGGTTTGATGCCAGTATGGGTTCCGGATTATTCTAATATCCTTCCCAAATATGTCAAGGTATTATCTCATGGAAAGCAATAAAAAAAAAAAAAAAAAAAAACTGTTTTAGTTATTTTTGTATTCATTTTTAATATTTTTATATCCCTTATCCAAGAGGAGGCATGGTGGAGTAATGGATAGCGGCTTGGATTGAGGAATTGGAGAGCTGATTTTGAATTCCAGTTGTGTTACATTCACTTACGTGCTAATGCCCTTGGGAAAGGGATGAAACCTCATCTTCTCCCCCCAGCTATGGGTAAATAGCAGGACAGACTGGGTTCTATAACCATGGATGGCAACTGGTCTACCGCTGAAAGAAATGGCAACCTACTATGGGGGGGGGGAATCTGCCTCGTCCGTCATATATCGAAAGATACATGATCGTCTAAGTGTGTATCATGTATGGCACATAATTGACTGACCTTGCCAAGAAATAATCTTTTTTTTTTTCCCCCATGTTACTATCAATTAACTACTACAGCTCATGAATAATGTTTTTTACAATTTTGTAAATTTTAAGAGTGGGATTCAGTTTGCTTGATAAATTCATTGGGGATTGATTTCCCCTACACAAATGAGAAAAAATATGCACATCCAACATGATAAAACATTATTAACCTTATCAAATTTGAAATAAGTTAAAATAAAAAGTTAATATTTATATTACTTAAAGCAAATTTTTACTCACCTCCCCCTTTATTTTCATTAATCCTAGTTGGTGTTGCACAGTGTGATGTAGGCAATGAAAATTCTGTTGCCAACAAGACTCCTTATAACTCAAGAACTTTCTGGAGAATCCTTACAGAGTAAAAGATGGCAGTTTTCTGGATTGATTTGTTTTTTTTTTATGGTTTACCAACCTTCTGAAGGTTATTTAAAGCCAGAAAATATTGAAACAAATTTTTGGAGATAATGATGTACTGATACAAATCCCCCATATCTGGAGGTGTGTGTGTGTGGGGGGGTTATACCTTCCCCAAGGGTATTTATTTGTAAGTGAATATAACAATCCCAATTATTCTTATAATTTAGAAAATTAAAGTTTTTTTTTTTTTTTTTTTGGAAAAGGCCCTAATTTTAATTTCATCATTAACCAACAAGAAACAATTTTCTGATATTTACAATAAAGTAAATCAATGAAAAATTAGTTTCATCATTAAATTTCAAAATCTTTTACTTTTCTGTGAAATATTGAAAAGAAAACATGGAGACAGAATTATCACACAAATTGAGTAAATTTAATGTATGTGTAGATCCATGCAAGTATAAAATTTGCTTATGAGGGTGTGATAGGAAGTTCCTGGCCCTACCCACTTCCTAAAATTCAGTCAAATGACTAAGTAGAATTTCTATTTTAATCCCTTCTTGGTTGGGCCCAAGAACTTTTTAGCACCCACCTCATACAAAACCAAAAGTAAGGAATAATAGAATTTGAATTCAGAACCAGATTAATGTTTCTCATCCAGTGCCTGAGTGGTGTTTATATCTTGTCTGCTACATAATACAATTCTATAGAATTGAGGGCTAAGTGACAAATGTCAAGGTATAAAAGGATGCTGAAAAGTTCTCAGCCTAACCCATTTCCAAAACATCTGACTAAAGGATCTAACATTTTAGTAAAGGATTGTTGGTTGGTTCAAGGAATTTTCAGTACTCCTCATCTTAAAATTCATATGACGAGATGAACATTTCAGCTACAGCCTTGAAATAAATGACTATGAAAATTTGTAGATTATTTTTTTTTTTTTAAAGATATGAGACTAAATAAATAAAACAAAATTAAAAATGATTAAAAACAAACAACAAACAAAAACACAATATCAATTTTTGCTTGAACAAATTCCTTTTTTTTCTTTGTTTTTTTTTTTTTTTTATACATTCCATGTTCTTTTACTGTTTGTTTTAGCTTTTTTTTTTTCATACCGTGTTGAATCTCAGTTTTAGTCCAAAATGGATTGTGTTGCTGTTTTTTGACTAAACATTTTTTTTTCAGTGGGTGGGAGAGGAAAGGAAAGAAAAATAAAATAAAAACAAATATTTTTCAACTGGAAAAAAAAAAAAATTTTGTACCAGGAAAAAACCTATGTTATGATTAAAAAAAATCATAGATTTGTGTGTAGAAAAAGAAAAAAAAAATTTGCATATCTTACAAGAGCCTGATTGAAACTTTTCTTTTTGCAATATTTTTTCAAAACAAACTCTTTTGCATGGTCAGTTAAAATTATTACACATATGTAAAAGTGTGTTTATATATGTACCTGTATGGCATCAATGTAGAGACTACATCGATACACAGATATCTCTCTTGCTCTCTCAAACACACACATTACATATGTACAATATTGCATATATATTCCTATCATATGTAAATTATATCACATACAATTCATCAATAGCGTCCACGGCCCCGTCCACCTCGACCTCCCCGTCCACCTCGACCTCCACGATGCTGTTGCTGGTAGTTTTGGTTGTCGTACTGATTATACTGACCACCACCACCTTTGTAACCACCATGGCCACCACCACCACCACCACCACCACCACCACTCTGGTAGTTGTTATAGCTATCATAACCACCACCGCCAGTGTTTTGGCCATACATGCTGAAGTTATCTCGGCCTCCACGATCTCCTCCACTATAAGATTGGTAATTCTGTTGACTGTATCCTTGTTGGTAATTGTTGGAGTTTTGGTAAGACTGTTGCTGTTGATAGCCTCCTGATAAAGTCAGAAAAAAAAAAAAAATCTTACTAAAAAGAATATTTTAATTAAACAATTAGAAAAAACAAAATTGACATTTGCTTATTTTTATCAGATATTTTTCAATCTACCATTCCACAAAATATAAACAAACATTGTAATAAAGTAACAAAGGGTGAGACCAGATCAAAAATGATGTATTTGTTTGCTTGAAGTTTTGAGTTTAACTCATCAATGCCAATCATAAAATCCAAGATCAATTATGAAAATTAAAAAACAAAATTCTATCAATTATAAATAAAAATCTGGTATTAATTATTTTTTTTTTTAATCATTTCATCCCAAGCAAGGCAATAAAGCCACTAAGTTGCAAGGAGTTACTGAGTGTGAGTAAGAAAATAATAGGGAAAATATAATCTCAAGATAAACTTCTGTAATTAACAGGTTTCGAAAGAAAGAGTCAGTAAAGGTTAAAACTAGACAAGACTCTACACCAATGTGCCAGGGAGCAATGAAAGATCAGTACCAAATTAGAATTTGTACACAGTAAAATATTAATTAGACATTTGTAGTAATATTTATCTTTATTGGAATAATATAATTAATGTAAAGCTAATAATTAGTACTTTTTAAAATTTATATTTAATTTTGTAAATAAGTAATACAACATTAAAAAAAGAAGAGAAAGCAAATCTATTATCAAAAATATTAAAAAGATGTTAATAATAAAATTATAAAGAGTAGATTAAAAACAATAATAAAGACATGTTTCTAATATAAAAAGATTAGACTATTTCTTCTTTATCTTTCATTGAACCAAAATTGAATGACAATGTCAATCACAATTAAGAATGGATGTCCATTGCATTTCTGTATTCTGTCTAAATCACTCTTCTGACTGAGAAACCATACTTGCAAAAATATATTGAAAGGAATGATTGTAAGGCTCTTAAAGCAATTTCAATGACTTCAGGATATTGTGCTTTTACTTTTATCCAAAAAGAAACAAAAAGTTTCAATCTTTTATCTTTTGGTGGCAACCATTTAGTGGTACCAATACACATACTGCTCTTTGAGTAGCATTACACTGTACTGTGTCCCAACAGACAATCCCTTCAAGAATTATTGAAACCAAGTAACCATGTACTGGTGCTAGAATATAAATCAAACTTCAGTAGGTAAACTTATCTCATTAAAATATTTTTTTAATTAGATTTGATAAAAAAAAAAAAAAAAAAAAAAGTGACAGGTTTCATTTGAATTGTTACTGATGCAGGTAGTGTAAGGAATACCATTGCAGAAAGTGGAATTGGAAAGTCAAATTGAAATTTCAGTCTAGTATATTGCCTTCACATTTGCACAAATACTCCATGGATCCATTTCCCCCTCCAGCTATGGGTTAAATAGAAAGGAAAATTGTGCACTCTTGGCTTGAAAGGCAACCAAACAGAAAACTCTCCTGTTGCCTCCTCTATGATTTGGAATTCAAACCAGTCCAATGTCTTTCCCAAGAATGGAGGGGAATTTTTCATTGTGATTTTTAAAATCATCAACCTTATAATGAGTCTCACCAACTTTGTTTTTTTTGGGGGTGGGGGGGTAAATAAGGAAAAAGAAATGAAGGTCCTAATTATAGACTTCTAATGCTGTCAAGTGAATTTGAAAATTAAAAAAAAAAAAAAAAAATAAATAAAACAACAACAATAAACACTATATATATATATATATATATATATATATATAACAGACAGATAAAATTTTTGGTGTTCAGTCATTGAAAAAGTTATATTTTTTATAGATGAATTTATTAGGTGAACTGAAAGAAAAAGAAAATATTTATTGACAGGAAAACTAAAAGATTAAAATATATAAAAAAAAAAAAAAAAAAAAAAAAAAAAAAAAAAATTATAGTAACATTGTATATCATACACAAGTAAAAAATTCACCCATAAATATTTTTGTATGCCAAAATAGCAGTCCCTTTATCTCTGTCAAAATTTCTTTTTAACAAGGTTTTGTTATTACCAGGCAATAATTCTTTCAGATTTGCATACTGGTTGTCCATTACCACTTTTTTTTAAGATTATACCATCTCATTCACTCTACCCTTGAGCTTTCCTTTCTAGTAACCTCCAGAGAAGGTTTGAAAATGACAATTATGAAGTCCAATATCTGAAGGTGACCAAGTACTTGAAAAGATCTTGAAGGTAAAACAGGTGAAATATTTTTGATTAGAAATCACCAAAACGAGAATGCAAGCCTGAAAGAATTATTGCACACACAAAAAAGGGGATAATAATTCTCTTGTTTATAGGATATGGCTCAGTCACTCACCAAAAAAAAAAAAAAAAAAAAAGCTTTAGAAATTGTTGTGGATCCCGTGTGAAAAATAGGTATCCAAATAATGATAAACAAGTATTTAAGCTAAGAAATTAAATGTATTTACACAAAATACAAAAGGTAATGCTGTTAGTAAAATCCAGGAACGCAGGTTAGTAGCAAATACAGATAGATATATACAGTCTCGAAGTAGGACTTGCTTAGAGTCTACATGCTTGTAACTGGCTTCTACAAGAGGTTACTTCACTCTATCCGACTACCGACACGACTCATCTTCTCTGCCTGACTGTAGCTATTTTATGGCAGCAGGATGAGTCCATTATATCCGAAAAGGGTGGACCCCATAATAGAAATATAATCAGTTATTGACCTGATATAAGAAGAAACCCAATTCTAAACTTGAGTTAAGTATTACTAAAAGGATGGATACAAGAAAAGTGTTTTCTATGGAGTGGGAGGGGAGATTTTGAGAAGTGGTCCAGGTGGAGAATATTTCAACACACCTCATATATATATATATATATATATATATATATATATACACACACACACACACACACACACACAGAGGGGTTGGACAAAATAATTGGAACAGTTGCAAAATCCACTCCTATATTTCAAAGACCTATTATATTAAGAACTTTAACTAAAAACTTTGTAATTGCAGTTTATATCTATTGTAAATATGTTTATTGGTTTTTCAAGAGCTACCATATCAAGAACACTGATGCAATTTGAGAAACAGGGCAAGACCTCTAGCAACCATAGCAATTCGAGCCGAACTTGCAAACTTACTGACAGGGACTGACGTGCATTGAAACGCAATGTGGCAAAAAGTCATCAGACAAATGCGGCCAAAGTGACTGCTGAGATGAATAACCATCTGAATAGTTCAGTTTCTACTAAAACTGTTCACCATGAGCTCCATAAGGCTGCATATCATGGAAGAGCTGCTGTGTGGAAACCTCTTCTCGCCACTTGCAACATTCAAAAGAGGTTGAAGTGGTGCAGAGATCACAATGCCTGGTCTGCAGACCAATGGAAGCAAGTCATATTCTTAAACAAGTCCAGTTTTTTTCTTTTCCCAACTTCAGAGTGAGTTTATGTGTGGAGGCAGCCCAAAGAAGCTTACAACCCTGACTGCCTTCTAACAGTGAAGCATGGAGGTGGATCAGTGATAGTTTGGGCCGCCATATCATGGAAATCTTTCAGTCCAATAGTTGCCCTGCATGGTAGAATCAACAGCAAAGATTACTGGAACATTTTGGGAGATCATGTTCATCCAATGGCCAAAACTTTATTCCCTGAGGGTGACTGCATCTTCCAAGAAGATAATTCTCCAAAACATACCGCCCGAGTGGTTAAGAATTGATATGAAGAGCATGAAAGTGACCTCCCCAGTCTCAAGATATCAATATTATTGAACATTTCTGGTACATTTTGGTACAACAAGTTAGGACCCGCTATCCTCCACCGTCGGGTCGGAAAGAGCTGGTGAAGGTTTTAATGGAAGAATGACTGAAAATTCTTCTGGATGAAGTCAGGAAGCTGTATGATTCCATTCCTAGACATATTAAAGCTGTCTGTAAGGCTAAACTAGGACAAACTCCATATTAAATAAATTTTCTTTGAATTTAACAAGTGTTCCAATTATTTTGTCCAACCCCTGTGTGTATGTATATATATATATATATATATATATATATATATATATATATATATATTACACACACACTGGCCAGAAGAGTTGCAGGAGATACTGGAGGCTATGGTTAAAGACAATGGCGATTTTATTGAATAAATTTACTCTTTAGTATTTCAAGATATTTTTGTGTAATTTTAGTAAATACATCTGTTAAAATGAGATGTCAGTGTTATTTTCATTTTTTGCATAATTTAGATGACAATTTATTCATTGTATCCTGTATATATACAGAGTTGGCGTAAAGTAGATATACATTTGTTTAATTATTTATATACTGATGTGACTTTTTATTTTTTACAGGTATTGTGAATAATGGCAAATAATTTGAGTCAAGAACAAAGTAGATTTTAAAGCAGTATTGGAAGATTGAAAATGCCAAGCAGGTGTGCAAAGCATATAGAGAAGCATTTCATACTGTTTGACCAACATGGCTGACAATTTAGCATATAAGAGATAAATTTGAAAAAAATTACAAAAAATGGTTCAGTGGTTAATGCATTGAAATCTGGATGTCTATGAATGAAGAAAATGAGTTGCTCTGACAATTGTGAGCAGTCTCAAAAATTTTAGTAATAAAATGTAAAAAAAACTGTAAAGTGTATACCTACTTTTAGCCCATCCTATATAAATAAATAAATAAATAAAGGCATTGAAGATGTTATTTTTTTTTTTTTTTTAGTTAGATGCTAAGAATTAATACCAGGGCAGAGTAATCATGTAGTTAAGTCTTAAGGTGGTTGTTGAAAGAATAACTTTTCTCCTTGTAATGGGAACAACAATTTGTAGCAAAAAAAACAAAAAAAAAAACAAAAAAAAACAACAACAACAACACAAACATTATTTGTCTAAATATTAAGATAAGATTAAAATTATTCTACAAAGATTTATCACATGAATAGAATTTTGGGGCACACTTGGACATGTTCACCATTTGGTGTCAAAAAAAAAAAAAAAAAAAAAAAAAAAATGATTTCTCTATAAAGATATAATAAAAAAAGAAAAATTATGGGATATATAAATATAAAAACAAACAAAAAAAACAACACATTTATAAATATACAATTTCCTTGTTGCATTTTACTAACAGGACAACTGAATATTTTTAGAATACTCAGTTCTTATGAGAGGAAAAAAATGTTTTTACAAATCCTATGCTATTTTTACAAAAACAAAGAAAAAAAGAGGCAAACATTTGCAAAATAATCATGATTAAAAATTTATGAATAAACAATAACAATGAAAAAATAAAATAAAATGATGGAAAATACAGGGTGTTCATATGAAAAGAATTTTTTCACAAATGTAAAAAATCCAAGACTGTAATAGGATTAGCATGAACTTTAAATGGATATGTCACCTATTGATGATGAGAGAATTTGCAATTCTTGCTTGGATCAGAAATGTGAAGATATCAGCAAAAAATTCTTCATAATTTTAATAAATTCTTCTATATAAGATGAGGTCAAATTGAGAACACTCAAATTGCTATGGAAATCAGTGCACTTTGATGTGGTTTAATGGTTAACAAGCTTGTCTAAGTAATTATATATTATTTACTAACTGACAATCAAGCAGCTGTGTGTTGATTTACCAAGAGTACTGTATTAGCATGAAATTGGCAGCAAATTTTCTGATAGAAGTTTTCAGTCATTGTTATGGAGTAACATTCATACCAGTGTACCATCTAGATTCAAGTTTTAGACTGTGGTATAGTTTAACATAGTGAAAGAGTTTAGTGCATGTGTGGCACCTTGCATTATTAGAAATATTCCTAGAAATATGATTTAATTTTTTCTTACTCAGTTTATTAAACAGGTTGTTAATTTTTTTTTAAAAACGGAAAATAACTGAGTTGAAAATAATTCACTAAGAGTGTACTAGACGATCCTAAGGAAAGAAGAAGGAAAGAAAGGAAAAGGAAGGAAGGGAAGAAAAAAAAGAAAGGAAATGTATGACGATGACCCAATTGAGGGTGGAGATAGGAGTCAGAAAGAGATTTAGGTCAGCGTCTTGGCCGATTTTCGAAAGTCATTTTGATAAGAATGTCGGTCAGAGCACTTGGCCTACTTTGGCGTGGAAAGGCTCATTGGATAAAGAGAAATTTGGGGAACAATGAAACAATCTTAATCAGAGAAGAAGTGTCTTTGGGTTGAGGGGGGTGACCAGTGGAGCGATATACAGAGAATTGGACACCCACGTTAATAAAGTAGAGACACTTCAATGTAGATAATTAAGATTTTTCGACTATCAGGAAAAACAAAGAGGTAAAAAGAGGGACAATTGCTTTTGGCTCACAGAGGGCGCCAAGAAGGCAGAAAAGATCCTTTCTAAAGTCAAGACTAATTAGCAGCGGCTGTTTGACAAAGTCCAGGTGAGAGAAAGCCAAAGATTGTCATTTTGCGTACGTGCAAAAGGGGCAAAATTGGATTTTGTTTTTTTTTAAACAAGAACGATGTAACCACGCCCATAAACAGAGGGGAGAGGATGTTCGATCAATAACAATTGGTCGAATACGATCACGTGACCTAATGGAAGAAAAGGAAAGAAATGCTCGATCAGGAACGATTGGTTGAAAAGCGGTCACCTGACATACGAGAGACTAAGAGAGATGGATGTGCGCCCGCCCCACCAAAGGTACTGCGAGGAAGTAGGGAAGGAAAAACAATAGCGATAATGGAGAAGACAGAATTAATGCAGTTTTGGAATTATCGAGAAAACCCTGACGCCGACAGACCCACCCCAGTTTGTTGCAAGGTCAATAAAAGCAGGACCCCAGTCGACAGAAATCAGTTGGAGTTGCAGTTGGAGTTGAGAGTTGGACCGCGGGCAGGGATAGAGCCTGAACGCGGCCATCAGGCCCGATTCACTCGCCCCTTTGCGGGCAGAAGAAGAATCCTCAGACAAGGAATCCTTCCAGCCCAAGTCGAAGACAGGAGAACTTCCAGCCCAAGTAGATGAAGAAGAAGATTGCCTGAAGCCTGAGAAGAATTGGAGATGCAGACAAGGAAAAAGTCGATGAGAAGTTAAAGTTCATCCCGGACGGCAGCGAAAAAAGAACCCTCAGACAAGAAGAACTTCCAGCCCAAGTAGATGAAGAAGAAGATTGCCTGAAAGCCTGAGAAGAATTGGAGCTGCAGATGTCAAAGTCGATGAGAAGTTAAAGTTCAGCTCCGGACGGCAGTGAGAAGAGACCACCTCAGGCGACAGAGAGTTGCGGCTAAGTTGAAACAAGAAATCTTCCACCAAGTTGAAACAGGAAAACTACCAGCCCAAGCAGGCGAAGAAGAAGAAATACAACTCAAGTCGGAGAGAAGAATCAACTGCGAATGATCGATAGAAATTAGCCCCAGTGTCGAACTGAACCACACTCCGACATACATACATGATTCTAGAAAGTAGGTAATTCGACATTTTCTATTGTGTGATAGAAGCTTGGTGCCATAGTCCACAGAGCGGGTCGGGAAATGAGAACACTTTTGTTTTTGTAACGGACTTTAAGATATAAAAGGTTGTTACCCTTTTTATCAGCAATTTTGTTTGGTGTCGTGAGTTTTTATTTTATTTGTGTTTTGCCACCCCGGCCGGACTCAACTTGTATCGGCCCCGATCCCTGCTGGTCCCGTCTGTCTAAGATCTAAACACAGCGTGGGTAGACAGACCGGAGATCGGTATAGTTGCTTTTAGTGACCAGGTATTGGAAGCGAGTCGGGAAAGGCGAGGCTGGTGATCATCTGACCAAAGGGTTGGAGCGCACGCTTGGACCCAGGAGGACCAGGAGGAGCGTCACCGTTGGCGCCCGTAACCAAAGGATCCGACACTGGGCCAGGTGTGTAACCGTCACACATGTTTATATTGCATCATAAAGATGCACTTGGGCCCTATTTTATTTTTTTTTTAAATTAAAGCCAAATAAGGGTCAGAGTATGGGCCTTTGATAGTATAAATGATCATGGCATCAGGAGTCAAATGTAGATTCCTATAACTATAAACCAGGTTCTGGACAGATATATATCTGCCAAGATAAATGCATTTTAAAGGTCAACGTGGCAGACTATACAGGCATCCACAGCAGAGATCAGAGCAAATCTTGGTCCCCAGGAGGGTCATACACAGGCCATTGGAAACTGTTTTGTTTACTTACAACAAGTCTATAGACATGCATGCCTCACCCAGATTATCACTGCCTTGCATGTCTTCAATGGTGTTTTCAGAGAGCCATTGCAAAAAAAGACTTCTCACACAAATTGAAATAATGAATTATTGTAATTGTTTCCATGAAGATATATGAATTATTCTGGTTAATTTTCATTTTTATATACTTTGTGTAATAATTATGATAATTTCACAGAACAGATCACTTTCTTCTTTCACTATTTACACTGTAAACCTTTTATAAAAACTAGAAACTCCTCTTGTTCTGATAACATTACATAGGAAATTCAATCTTTTTTTCTGATGCTAAATTTACTCTATTCTTTATAATATCCTTATATTTTTAATTAATGTATCCACTAGAGGAAAAATAAAAAAAAATAGTGATAAGAAAGATTAGTCGTAGATTATCCATCGATTGTTTGACTTTTATGAATATGCTAAATAAAAAAAATGACAAAAAGACATTTACCATTTAAAAATGGAAAAAACGTTTTAGTAATAGAATATTGATGTGATCATTTGGAGATAATAATCTCTACTGAGATGAGGATGAATTAAAAAAAAAACAAAAAGAAAAAAAAAGAAATCAAACAAAAAAAAGAAATCAAACAAAAAAAAAAGAAAAAAAAAAAGAAAAAAAAGTCTTCTTAAAAGACTAAATAAATAAAAAAATCCTTTTTTATGAACACCCTGTATGTGAACAAAAATATCAGACTCCTACCATGGGTATTCTGGCGCTGAGCATGGTAATGACCTAAGAAATAAAAACAGAAATTAAATTATGCAGTCAAATAAAAAAAAAAAAAAAAAAACAACATGTACAGAAAAACCAATAAATGCACTGTAGCAGCCCTGTGCAAAGACAAAATCATCATTTGTAGAATTTATGCAAAGTTCTGGCAGAGCAAGATATAAATACAAGCACAGAAAGAACACAAGAAAAATGGTGGCCTACACATGTAAGATTGTAAGTGTTGAGCAAGGTTGAAGCAGGAAGTTTTGAATTTTTTAAGGTTGAAGCAGGAAGTTTTAAATTAAAATTTTGGCAATATCATGGTTTAGAATCCCAAATTATCATTGTTGCTATAAGAACACACTGTCAGTTAAAGGAATATAACAACAGTAAAACAAATATTTTCATTCATTTTTTTTTCAACAGTATCAATATTTTCTTTTTGCTATTTCTATTCATACAATTTTAGAAAAAAAACAGCTTTCAAAATGAAAATAAAAGTAGCTTGATCTTATCTATATGGTAAGATAAATGCACTGAAATCAAAATGTGGCTTACAGCTATATAACATTGAAACACCGAATTCCTGTTATGATCACTGAAGTGAAGCAATGTCGAGTCTGGTCTATACCTAGATGGGTGACCACTTGGGAATACCAAGTGCTGTAAGCGTGGATGTGCAACTAGTGTAATGGATAATGGCTTGGAATTGTTAATTGGAGAGCCAAGCTCAAATTTCAGTTGGGATTGTTATATTCACCTATGTGAAAATACCCTCTGGAAAGATACAAATCAACCTCTTCTCCTCCCAGCTATGGGTTAATTAGTAAGACTTGTATCACTAAATTACTATTACCTCAAAAATTCTTACAATCTAAAAATATTTTCTGACTTTAAATAACCTCCAAAGGGTTGATAAGCCATAAAAAAATAAATCAATCAATAAAAAATTAAAATGGCTGAGGAAGTGATTACTTTTATATTAATATTGGATGATATTATCTTCTGTTTTTATTAGATTTTATACCTATTTTTTAAATTTTTTATTTTGTTGTTACTGAGTAGCCTCACAATAAATGATTTTTTGGGAAGCTGCAAGATAGATCAATATAAGTAATAATGAACCATAAACTAGATTAAATATCAGATGTATTTATTAAATTTTATGCTCATTTCATATTTTTTTTTTTAAACTAACAGAGCAGCCTCACAACAACTTATAATTTGGGAGGCTAAACAAAGACTAGAAAAATGACGTGATCTCAATCAGCTGGGAATTATTCTAATTAGATTAAGGTAAACAATATTATCAAAATCGTACAATTCATTTCATAGCTGGAAATTGTTTCTTTTACCAGCAGTTTTATATTTTAAACTATTTAAGGATTATCAAAATGACATCAGAGAAGAATCTACAGGAAAAAAAAGTCATAGCAACTTGATGCAAATTATCGAAAGGTAATACTGTGGCAAAAGTTTAATGGAAATAAGCTGAGATTGATTAGTGTAAAGAAGCTGTAGCAGGTCGATACAATAAATAAAGCATAAAAACAAATAAAAACTGTATCACTGTAAAACATTTTGCAGCCTTACAGTTACTATTATCTTGTAATCTAATAGCCTCATGCAGTTGTTTGATAGTATCTACCAAATTAGAATGGCAAATCATTTTTCTTTGATGTTTGTCAATGAAGCAGTATTGAAGTCAGGTAGTTGCTGGGTTACAACACAATCTCCATTAACTTGGTTGTACGCTATATTGGATTGTTGTGCATTCGATCTCTTTCATTTGTGTTGTGTTTGCAGAAACTTATTGTCCTTCATTATGGCTGTCAAGTGTAGTGTAGCCTCATCTGATGGTGGTGCTTTGAAGAAAAGTAAAGTCATCATGAAAGTGAAATTATGGGTAGGTTCCAACTTACATAAGTTATGAAAATGAAACCAGTTTTTTTTTTGTTTTTTTTAAAATTTCTTCAATATATTGCAGGAACTCCTAGACTAGGTAGTAAAGGAAAGCCAGACTAACCATCAATTGTAAGGAGACAATGTATGTTAGTGAACAAGAGGAACATCCTGAGATGAATGCTGCAAACTGGAGATGCCAAAATCAAGCAAGTAGAGAAACTTAAATATCTAGAAAGTAACAGAAGGCAGAAAATGTGATACTAAAATCTGTATAGGCGCACGTTGGAATAGTGAAAGATGATTTCCAAAAGTTAAAGTACTAAGAAACAAGAACATTTCATTAGAAACAATGAAAAGAAGCTGAACTACTGTGTAATATCAATCCTCTTATATGGCAGTGAATGCTGGACAATTTCCTCACAGTTTAAGAGAAGACTGGAGGCAACAGAAGAGTGGTTTTACAGGAGGATGCTGAGAATACCATAGATGGAATATGTGAGCAATGAGGAAGTTTAAAAAAAAAAATAATGGAATAAAAAAAAATACCATCAGAGAAAGAGATGAAATTTCTGAGGCATAATGAGGAAAGAGGGCTTGGAGAATTTGATACTCACAGCACATATTGTACACAAATGGGATAGAGGGAAACGGTAAACTAACAAGATTGTGTAAATTGATGGCAGAACAATGTGTAGGAAGGATAGTAAAAAGACAAATATTCCTAAGAGTTACAAAGGATAGGAAGTTGTGGAAAGCTGTCATTGCCTTCATCCTGAAGGGAAAAATGGCACAGAAGATTGTACTTGAGATAATAAAGGAAGAAATAACAATAGCAAAATATTATTAATAATCTTATTACCAAAGAGACTATTACTAAATAATGTTTAAAACTTAATTCTCCTAACCACATCTATTTCAATTTAAATATGTGTATATAAAAGCAACGTTGATCAGGCAGACCTGTCAATACTAAAAGACTGGCCTCAGACAGATTTTAATCATAGACCTATTACCATAAATTCTTACTTTCTAGGTTAGACAACACTTTTTCAAATAGAAGCATCGACACCAAAATGCAAACATCTCAGTCTTATTGAAAGCTTCGAGAGAGAGAGAGATAGGAAAAAAAAAAGAATGAAACAACTCCTGATGAAATGCTGCAGTTGAGTTTTGGAATGTGAAGTCTATGTTCACCTGCAACAACAGTCATACATACAGGTAAACCTGTATAGGATTCAAGTGTTTTCACTGCAGACAGATTAATTGACTGATTTGTCTTAAATAGCTCTGTGGTTAGTTCACAAGACTAGAAGCTATAAGCACTCTGCAAGTTATATTGTTACAGAGAAATAGGTTAACCAATATTTACAAAGAATTTTGTGTTCAATTTTAATTTCAGTTGCTTTTTACTGCAACTCTCAAATTGTCATTCGATAACAATGTTAATTGGAAATGAAGACTAAATCCCCAGTGAGGTTCAAATTTAACTTCCTTCTTCTTGGGAAAATTATCTTAAATGCAACAGCTGCTTTATTTAAATGTGAAAATTTCTGAATTATTTACATTGTTTGGACTGTTATCCTCATCTTTATGGTCATGTTCACAATGTTTCAGCCATTGTATGCTGTGGCCTTCTTCAGGTGATTGGAATTTCAAAGTGGACCCTTTATTTCATCCATTGGAGTGGATTATTCTAGCTTCACGTGCCATGCCTCTTTCGGACGTTTCAGTTATCTCCCTTTAACTCAAATTGAACAGTTTTTGTTCACTATTGCTGTAGCCAAGTATTGAACTCATAACTATTTGGGTCAAGTCACAGGTTCCAACCAATGCTTTTATCCACTGGTTCTAAATAATATAAATTATTACAATACCTCATCTCAAAAATATAGACAGATTCTGAATTTTTTTTTTTTTTTTACAATGATGTTCACTTTGTACAAGGCCCAAGAGCCACTCGATGTAGAGGGTTACAGAGTAAGTGGCACGGTTTATGGAGATATGTTGGGACGATAACAGTTAACCACAGGCTTGAACAGGTTAAGATTGTAGTGATTGCGAAAGCATCCTCTTGGGATTTGGTTTCACAAAGCAGTGGTTTATGGAAAGAAGCTGCTCAAGTGGAACTTATACCTCACCAATGGAATACAAAGAGAATGAGAGGATAGTCTGCTATAATTACAATGGCATGGTGGGTCTTAGCTGTGAAGGTTAAAACTGATAGAATTAATGAATGCAGTTTGTCTGAATACTTATGATGGAAATAATGATAGATTGGTGAGGGACTTACAACATTTTGTCTGTGAGAAAAACATTACAAGGTGGAAAATAATTTGCCACCCACAAGGAAGCAAAGACACTTTTGGGCTCTATCAAGACTAGAAAATGAAGACTGGGCAGCTCCTACCCATATATGGCAGCAGTACTACATTTTTAGCCTGATCTGGTTCTTGTAAATGGTAGAAGATAGCAGGAGTCAGGTACTTGCTGGAGTGGTACAGGAAATTGACCATTTTTCCAGATGGATACTATGTACAAGGTCTGAGTTGAGTTTAAATTCCAATAAGCACTCAAGGTATGGGGCCTCTGTTAGGGAACACCCATTCATCGTAATTGGTGAAAGTTCTGGGTCCACTCAGTGATGATGGAATGTTACTAGTTTGGTTTTTTGAGGCATTGAATCTAACCAGTCAAGTTTTGCCCCCACTGAGCTGTTAGAGCTAGGTCAGAGGAGAGATCAGTTGTTTATTTTATTCCTTCCTGCCTTATGTACACAGGATCATATCAATAATAGTAAAAAAAATTATTTAGTCTGATTTATTTTGAATGACGAAATTTGTCACAGAACTTTTTTTGTTTTCTCATTCAAGACCAATTATTTGGATGAAATCTTGCGCTTAATGATTGAGAAAACTCAAGAGAGAAATCAGGGAAGTTTATTATGCATTAAAACAGAGGCCACTGTGTGTCGATGGGACTACCTAGGGGGCTGATAAATGCCTTATGGGGAGAGAAGGGGAAGGTGATTGATAAATAAATTTTGGAGACTTACTAATTTCCCACCAAATACGAATGCCTTTGCTACTGTTCAAACATATCTTTCTCATTAATGAAATCAACTAATTCAGTAAAAAAGGTATATTAATTTATTTTTACTGTTTACCTATATCATTTATGAAGCTGTTCTCATTATTATTTGAACAATTTCTGGTATAGGAATAGTAATAAAAATTGAACAAAACGTAAAGTTAAAATTATTTTTTTTAAAGAAACAATGGCGGAATTTGTACCCTTATGAACAAAATAATAATTATTGATAGCTTTTGTATATACTTGGGGGTCAATAGTCTAAAAAGTTTTGGGATTGCTGCATTTTAAAAAAATTCCATAATTACTGCCCAGGCATAACACTAAAAAACAGTAATGGTAATCTGCTGCTTCTATCTGCTAAAAGATAAAAAGCTATAACTGTACATCAAAAGGGAGCTGGGTGAATTCAATCTTATTGCATTTGATCATATGAATAAAAAAAAACCAAACTTCTGATATAATTTCCCTAAAATTATGTGTATTGTTGTGTAATTAAACTGCATGTTTAACGTGCGTGTAAGTAACATTTTTCTGGTTACAGCGAAAGAAATTAAATGTCAATGAAGCAAAAAAAGCAGAATGATTATTGATTAGAGTACTTATTAAATTTTAGCCAATATTGATTGGATTTTTAAAAAATTATTATTTCACTTATTAGTTTTCTAATCATTTACTAGTATTATTTTTTGAAGCTCGAGTTACAAAAAGTTCAGAGATGTAACATACAATAATAGCCATATTTGAAACTGAAACATTGTCATCGATGTAACTGAATATTACGAAGAAACAAAATAGGCTTTTTAGAAGAAAGGGCTAAGAATTTACGAAATTGGTTCAGTTCTTAATTTATAAATACTTTTTGCTTAATGTCGTTACGGTCATATGTTCGATTTCAACAGTTTCAAACACAAGGTAATTTTTAACACGTAATAGTACTAAAAAACACTAAAACAGTGAAATATTCATTTAATTTTTTAAACATTTTTTTTTTTAGGCTTCAATGTTTAATTTGAATTTTGACCAGAACAACTTTTTTTTTTTCAAAATAAATAACCTTACCTAAATTTAGTTTTGAATGGAGAAAAATTTGAAAAATAAGTGAAATTGACCCATTACTCTCACACGCTTAAAAATATGTACTTAATTTGAAAAAAAAAAAAAAAGAAAAAAGATATTTATATTCAATTGGTTACTTTTTTTTACGTTATTATTGAAATGAAATCATTTTTTTTTAACTTAAGAAACTAAAGCTGAAACAAAAAAGACAAAATGAAATATTATGCAAAAATAAAATAATCGAGGACATCCCCCCAAAAAAAAAACAAAAACGATAAAATTAAACACAGACCTCCACCACCTTGGTTCCATTGGCCACCACCCATATTTTGGGAAGGCTGCTTCTGGTCATTCCAGTTGCTCTGGACACGGCCGCCACCACGCCCACCACCACGGTCACTCTGGAAGCCACCACCTCCGCCGCCACGTCCTCCTCCCCCGCTTTGACCAGTGTTCCTTTGCTGAAATGCCGGCATTTCTGGGGGTGGAGGCTCATGTTCCCAGGCACGGCCACCCCGATCGGGTACCTGCCCGATGCGGACTTTATTGATGGCACATTTGGTCCTTTCGCGGGCCTCTCCACTGCTGGTCTTTTGAATACGGAGCAAACTGTCCCTGGCAGCCAGAATCTGAGGAATTCCGATATTCGTGCGAGCCGTTAGTTTCTTGCTGGGACCCTCGTAGAAGTTTCGGATTTGCTTCTCTTTCTGCTTGGCTCTGTCCGACCACATGAAAGACTGAACAGTAACATCCATTCGCTTTATCAACATCTCCCTTCGAGTTTGGTATTCCTTATCCAAAGATTCGTTAATACTCAGGAGATGAGCCCATTGCTTGTCCGACAAGCGAGACTTTAACATGGATCTACCCAGCTGGTTGGGATGTTTCATTATCATTTCTTTGATCTTAGCTTCGAGCTTGGAGAAAAGTTGCTGAGGGGTAATATTAGCCGGTGGCTTGGAGAAGCCTAAAGCAATGAGCATACTTTTCATGCAAGAAGCCACATCAGATTCATAGTTGGTCGTTGGTGTTTCGCTATTGTTGGAAATAAGGACGATCGGCTTATTGACGGCCAGCATCATCACACTAGCTAGTTCCATAGTAAGATAGTTCAAGAGCTGAAGTCGTAACTCCTTGGTACCAAGACGATGATCGATTGTGCCAACTGTCAATGCACTCAAGGGACAGCCAATTTCACGTAGAAAAGCACTCAACTCCAGCATAAACGTGTCACTGTCATCAGGATCAGTTATTGGGTTCACATGTTCAATTAAGTCCAGAAATTCCTGAAGTTTAACGGTAAGCCAGGATACGACATGTGTGAACTCTGGAGAGCGCTGCCCTTCTTCTAAGGCCTTATCAAAAGAACCCTCCTCCAGCTGGTCTACTGGGTAGCCCAGATCTTCGAGTACGTCAAGTATATCAGCCTCCATTCCTGAAGGGAGGAAAAAAACAACAACAAAACACTTATTAAAACAAGTCAAAAAATAATTTTTTTGATAAAATGTAATAACAAAAACCGTAATTTCTTTATGATATTCATAAAAAGAAAAAAAAGATAAATATTTACGACACTTTTACACTTTTCTTACAAAAAAAAATGTCGACTGCCAGCAGATGCGTGTATGGCGACCGGTAGCGGCTCTGATCGGTTTACTGAAGAGTTATTCCCCTTCACCGGCTATTTTACGTTTCCGGAATAGTTCGGTATTTTCCGTAAAATAAAAATGAAAAAAATACATCATTTGTTAAGATTTCGTGAAAATACTAAATTTTTTCAAAAATAGGAATAAGAAATTTCTTCCAGGGCAGAAACAGTAATTTTATTGTTGAAAATTTTCCACAAAGGGAATGTAATCAAAAAATTTTAAAGTTATTCTTTCGTTAAACTCCTGCTACGTCACGTTCGAATCGTGTTTTAAGTAGCTGTCGCCATTTTGGATTCTTTCCGCTAAACTGGCATGTCCTTAAGCTGACCTAAAAGGACCGTCTACTCACTTTTTAGTGGTATTAAACGCAAAAATGCCGACTTACTTCCAACGTCCCGAAAATGCCCTTAAACGGGCAGATGGTGAGTTGTTGAAGCCATATTTTTATATATTTTTCTTAAAGATATCATCAGGTTAGCAAAAGTGTGTATGATTGCGCCATGCTGGACCTGTAGAATTGTCCATTTCGCACTTTGTTCTTTAAATGATTGTAGTAACTTTCTTTTCAGTAAAAAATAAAAAATAATTAATCACTTTGTGTCTCTATTGAATCTGAGATGTAAATAAAAGTTTAGATTGTTAAAAATCGTTTAAGATGGCTTTATTGCGGAAGATTTAATAATGTAACCGGGAATTTCAATAAAAAGTGAATTCAGCAGACATTGTGCTTACTAGCGATTACATTGTCACGAAAATTAAAATGCTTTAAACCTAAAAATGTTTGTTTTAGTCACTTTTTTTCAACATTATGCTAACTAAAACTGTCTCTGGTTTAAAAAATGATTAAAAAAACGTGTTCATATAATTTTAATATCCTTATGCGCATTTAAGCTAGAAAAGCCATGTGTCGAAATTTGAGGTGGCGGATTTTTGTGAATGCCAAAAAGCTTGCATATGGGAAGAGATGAGCAAAATGAAAATGCTTTATATTCGCTTGCATTTTGTGTTTATTTTTTAAACAATTTCCTAAGCAGTACTCAAAGTACAATTATCAACAGTAAATTAATACCTTTTTATGAATTAATTATCCCTTCCTCTCTTCGAATATTTATTTCAATACGTAAGGAAAACTGAGGCTTATATAAGTGCTCCGACCCTGCCTAACACGAGAACGACATAGGCAATCAGAGAGGAGGCAAAAATATTTATTTTTTAAAATGTATTAATTTACTTTTAATTATTGTAATTTAAATAGTAAATTTGCGAAACGGTAAGATGAGACATCTACTCCGTATAGTAAATAAATTTCGTGGAGGCGGGGTGGGGGACGAATAACGAGACGTCATCATGTTGAAATGTTGCATTAATAATTTAAATAGCTGAATGAATCTCCACATCACCTCCCCCCCATTTTTTTTTTATCAAAAACAAAACATGAAAATCAACTATGGAAGACAATCATTGATTTTTTTTTTTTTTTTTTTTTTATACTTTTGTTTGCGCATTCTGGTTCAAGAGCTATCGCGCGTTAAATACAAAAATTGTGAATTGTCATTATATAAAAAAAAAAACTAATAAAATAAACACATCGTAAAAAAAAAAATAATTAATCAAATACCCTAAGTTAGAATAATTTATTTTTTCTCCCCCCCCCCTAATAAAACTCAAGTTTCTCCGAAATGGTGGCGGACCGGCTCGACGATCAACATAGCAGCACAAAAACCAAGTTTTTGGTTTTTTTGTCCAACAAAAAAAAATAATTATTTAATAAATTTTTGGCAAAAAACTTATTTCAATAAATTATTTTTATTTTTTTTTCACCAAAAAATACTTCCCGGATGTGACATGCAATGATGTCTCTATTTTATTATCATTATCTTTTTTTTTTTTTTTTTTTACCGCACTTTTTATTGAACAGGTCAATATTCGATCTTATGCTGTTTCGATTTATGAACTATCTGGATGTTTCATTAGTGTATCGAAGGAAATTATTTACTTATAAATTTCTTGAAAAGTAGAAATTAGTAGATTGGTTTCGTGATAGCAAATGTATAAGTCACAACACAACTCACAAGGAGTAATAAACTTTACCAACAATGAATTTGCATTGTTAAAAAAATTGAATTTCCGATTGCTGTTTTCAGTTTTTTTACAAGATTTATTTTTTTTTTTTAGAATTGGCAAAATGTAATCGAATAACACTAACAATTACAATTAAATATAAAACTTTTTTAAAGAATCGGACGAATATTTGAAGTTTTTTTTTTTTTTTGCATGGAAACTTGAAAAAAATATCAAGCTTTTTAATTTTAAATCTTTTTTTCTTTTTAAATAATGGAATTTGTTTTTTTATCCTTCAGTTTCAAAACTATAGTCACATTTATTTTGACAATTTAGGATTTATCATTGTTTATTTTGTTTCTTTTATTAAACCTTTCATAAATTTCTGATAAAATAACGAACAGTTGAACACTTCTATTTTTAATAAACATCATATTGTCATTAAATATTTTAAAGAGTCTTTTTTACGGCGGTTTTATGTTTGGTTAATTTTTCCATAAGCTTAAATCTTAGTTTGAAATAAGGCTCTAAAGTTTTAAAAGATGAATGAATGCATAATGAAAAAAATGAAATACTCTGTTTAATTTCTAAAAAACAATATTAAGAAAAAAATAAAATTATTATACCTCCTCTCAATTATACGCATATTTTCTATTTAAGGTCATGGAATTATTAATATTTCCGTAGAAAAACAACAAAATACAAACTTTTCGATTTTCATAGTTTTTATTTTTTTCTGATGGTTATTCCAAGATATGTCAAAAAAGGTGGTGGGGGGGTAATGAAAGTGGGTCCAAATTTATGGGATAGAAAACTGCAAATTAATGTATTTTATCTTTTTCTGAAAGTACTCTAGTGCAATTGGCACCACCACCTACAATAATACATTGAACCAATGTGGTACTTTGCTGGATAATTTGAAGTTGCCTAACTACTATAATAATAATAATAGTAGTAGTAGTAGTAGTAACTGTCCTTTGTAAGCCTTTTAAAGCTGAGATATTACAAAAATGTTGCCCATTACTGCAAGCTGGTCATCATACATATACATCACTGGTGCTTCTGTTGAACACATTTAGTCGAAAAATAAGGTGTATTTAGCAGAAATAACACTAAATTACTTTATAGTTTCAGTCATACTCTTTTCTATACACAAACTATTATTATTTAATGAACAGCTTTTATAAAATAGGTAAAAATTACATGCTTGAAAATGGCATAAAGGGCAACATCGACTTGCAAAAAAAATTACCTAAATTCTGTTAATGTAAGATGAAAACTATAAATTCCCCAGTGTTATTAATACAGAAGGCAGGTCGAGATATAAAAATAAAAGATTATCTCTAAGAAAATATTGCAATATATTTGGGATTCTCTATATTGACTTCAATAATTTTTACTTTTCCACTTGAAAAGTAATATTTAATTAGTGATGATTTTTATCTGGATTTTTGAAATGAGGAATTATATCTTATTTAACACTAGTTCAAGCAAATCAATGTAAGATTTATACTGAATTATGCAAATTTAAGGTTGTTTATAATATTTTAAGATTAATTTTCTTTTTTAACTAATAATAAACAACAAAAAATATAAAAAAACATCTTTTGAATTGAGAATTTTCTCATCAATTTTTCAACTAAAGCATTTTTGAGACTTATAATGGCTTTAAGAAGCTGTTATATAAGAAAGGTTATTATTGATCACTTTTAAATTTAGTTTTTTAAAGGGCAGACTTTGTCAGTATTTTTGTATCCAATAACTAATTTTAAAGTATATTGCAAATAAATGGGCTAAAAAAACTATGAATCAGAACAGTTGTATTTATACCAAGCAGTCATTTTTTAAAGTTTTAGTCTATCATGTGCAGTCATATACTAATGTTCTAATATAGCATTGTCCAAGTGGATATAAAGCATTAAGTATATGCAGTTTGCTTGGTGGTTGTAAGTTCAATCTCTGAGTTGAGCAGTGAAATCCACACATTCTGATTTAGTGAAACAAGCAGGAGTTAACAATATGTGAACAACATATTAGCTCTTCTGGCATAGACAGTGGAATGGAGTGGATTAAGTAAAATGTTTAATTCAACATCTGGAGAGTACAGTGGCTGAAATATGACTCTAATGATGAGTTTTCATCTCGGAAATTTAGACCAATTTTTGCCTATTTCATGTTCATATCTACATAAGCTTAATTTGTGAAACTGAAAACAAAAGTAAATTGGTTTTATAAAGAAGAAAATGTTTAAAGTAAATTTAAATGAAGTGATTTCATTTGGCAACGAGTAGAAATTATATAAAGCCAACTACCATATGGGTTTTCTTTTTAAAAAAATCTGTTCATCCAATTGGAGGAATTGTAAATAGTGTTTTTATTTTTATATATATATTAAATTTGATGAAAACTGTTTTATCGTCAAAATGCTTGAGGAAAAACCAAAGGATTTTTTGATTATTTAAAATGTTTCCATCTGTTTTTAGAACATTTTAACTTTTGATTAAAATATCATTTCTCTTAGTGCCACTACTAAATAATATAGCAAATTTTAGTGTTTTTTTTTTTTTTTTGCAGTGACAGACATTAATTTGGAAAATCTTTCAAAAATGAAAAAAATTGTTGGATAAAACTTATTCACAAATGATTAAAATCATTTTAAATGTTTATTTTTTGAAAGTCATAGTAAAAAAAATTTTTCTTTTACATCTGTTACTCCTCCCCATAACTAATTTTATGAAAGTTCTTTGAAATTCAAAACTGAGTATTTTATATTAGTGAAAAGCAGAAGTCTTTGAAGAATTTAAATCATGCTTTTTTTTTTTTTTTTGATTGGACCCTGTGTCACTGAAAGTCATCTCTGAATTATAACATTACAAACCCCAATAAAACAAAGATATTTAATTTCAAAAGCTTTGTTGCTTTTATGAATATTGTCTGAAGGCAAAACCTTTTTGTTGAAAAGTAAATTTTTACAGCAATTGTTCGATATTTCTATTTTACAATTTTACATTAAAGTAGGCAATGTTATTATTGAGTAGACCTATCTTTACAGATCATAAATTTTAAAACTTATAATCTGCAAATCCAAAGTATTTAAACTAAATTTTGATATTGTTTTTTGTGTCCATAAAAACTGTTTTATTTCAAATGTACTGATGGCTGTAAGAAGCATAAATAAAAAATGAATTTTGTACTGATTTATAACAAGAGTCATCAATTATTTTTTAGTTTCAAGTAACTTACTTGAAAGTAAAAAAAGTAATTATTTGAAATTGTTTATTTTCAAACTGATTAAAAATATGGAAACAAAATTAATACATTAAAAAAATGTATAACATTTCAAATATGAGAAGGATACCTATTAGCTATCTTTCTTATGAAATTTATATGGTCTTATTTTTGGATTATCTCAGTTATGACATTTTTCAGAAATGAGATAATATAAAAATAATAGAGATAAAATAATACCCTAAAATTTCATGAGATGTCCATAAAAATTATAGGTACCTCTTTTATGAAATTTTATCTCACTCTCATGAAATTAAAAAAAATTTTATATTATTTTAAAATTTTTTCCAGAAAGCATCTTCAACAAACGTAAGATTAAAGCTAAATTAACTAAAAAATAATAGAATATTAGACCGCTGAAAGTATTTGTTACTTATTTAAAATTATGGGTTAAATAGGTTCACTTAAACTTAAAAAACTTAAAGTAGAAGAAATGTCACTTCTGTTCTTCCATATTATAGCTTCACCTCATGTTAGTTTGTCAATAGTCAGTGTTAAGACTTGCTTTATCTAATTTTAAACCAAATTTTTTTTTCTGCAAAGTAATTTTTGTTTCTAAATATATTAAATAAATTTTCTTTAAATAAATTTTGAAAAAATATGGATTTTTTTTTTTTTTGTACAAGATTTTTAAATGGAGAATTTAACTTTTGTTCCAAATTTCTTTATGGCAATTTCACTGTAGAATAAACGATTTTTTTAACTAAAATTTTGGATATTCTAGAAAGGATTAAAAAATGTAAAAAAAAAAAAAAATAATGAAAAAATACTTTGGTCTTTTCTCTTAACAAATTTTTTCATCAAGTTTAAGGCCATTTTTATCATGCAATGCTTTTTTTTATTTTGTGCACACACACACACACGCACACACACACACACACATATATATATATATATATATATATATATAAAAAATATTGAGCCTATAACAATCTGAGTTTTCTCTTTTTTACATATGCATACACGTGTAGGCACTATTTTATTTAGAGTATCCCCAATGTTGTCAGGTTTTATTATAAGCAGCCTTTTAAAAGTGGGTTTTGGAGGTATATCAGAATGAATTTATTCATGAATTTTAATAATCCTATTATCTTTTATAAAGTTTGTATTCACAGCAAAATTCCAACTACTTGTCAGGTTAAGATTAAAATAAAAATATTGATCCAGCTGGTATATTTTTCTTGGCTTATGATCTTAGAAGAAAAGAATACATTTTTTATTTTACAGTTTTATGAAAAGGTGAGAAGAAAAAATTGTGAAGCTAGTTTACTTATTTTCATAGTTCTTGACCAGTGTACAAAATAAACTATATGTAAAGTTCCCTTTATGATAATACATCTGTAGTCATAATTATTTTAACTTACACAAAATTTTAAAATTGACATTACATTTAATTATTTAATAGACATTGATATGTCTAAACATTACTAAATTCAGATTTTAAATTATTGAATAACATTTAAATTTTATTGTCCTGAAAAATTCAATTTTTACTTACTTAAAAAAAAAAAAATTCAATAATAATTTATGCTGAAGGGATACATTTTTATTTATCCTAGAGACATTTGAAATGACATTCAATTTGTAGTTGCCAATGTTGAAAAATATACATGTGCAAAATGGGACTTTGAATCTTGAAATTAATATTGATTCATACTCTATATTGGTTATAATCATGGAAATGTTGATGGAAGTAGATGTGTTTATATAAGGATCTTCTAAGTCAATATGTTAGCATGTCTTGAAATCTGATTTAAAAAAAAAAAATTATAAACTGAATGATGAATGATAATTTATCTTTATTTACTATTATAAATTCTGAGGCAAATTAGTTTCCTTGGAAATTTTAGACCAAAATAGGTGCTTTTGGTTAAACCATACCAAACCTTTAAATTTGACTTATTACAGTGTTTATGAAAAGTTTCTATTAAGAATAATTGCATTATCATTTTTTAGAATTACACTATCTGAATGGATTTTGCTGAGCAAATTGGGTATAAAAAATTAAATGAGAATTTGCTCTTCACTTTCAATAATTCCAGTTAATATTTATATTTGAAAAATACTTTATAATCAGGTAGCCTTTGATGTCCAACCTGAAAAGCATAAAAAAATTTATATATAAACATGAGAAAATAATGTATCATTATTAAAGTGTAATACCAATGAATAATTATTTCATGTAAACTTACATTTAGGACAAGTGTTTTTTTTGTTTTTTTTTTTAACTCCTGATCGATATAAATGTGAATAATTTCTTCTGAAAAGCACTGATAGTTTTTTTTTCTATGTTGTTATGCCATTCTCCACCTTAAAGCAAACCCGAAGGTTATTCACTTGCCTTCAGCAACTGATATAGGAAGACCTGTAACAATTGCAAAAAAAGCTTTCTAAATCTTTAAGAGAAGCCAAGACATAATTAGTCATTCATCAAACTAACCTTGTATGAAATAATCTGAACGGCTGGCCATATGACCCATTTCTGCTGACTGCTATCATTTGTTATCAATATTTACAGCACTATTTGGTATTTTTAACTTTCACATGTCTACAAGGGTACATTTCCAGATATAAATTTATTTATAGAGAGAAATATTCTGGTAATGTTGGGAGTTAGTGATGACTGAAACTTTTTTTAGTTTTTATTATTGTGGATGGTGAAAACCCCCACAGCCTAATTAAGATAAAAAAATGTATGTGCAACAGGATGATTTATTAGTTTAATTTGTAGCATTTTTATTTCTTTAATTAATTTCTGTTGGTTTAATTGGTGTTCATTAATAGTATAGTACTTGAAAGAATCCTTGGTCAAAAAAATTGTTGATAAAAATGAATACGCTCTTTGGTTTTTCTTATCATAGAGAATAACATGTTTGTTTTTTAAATACATTGATGGGCAATTTATCAGTCTATTGAATGTGTTTTCATTGCAGTTTTACTTTGTCTCACTACAGTGTTTAATGCAGAAATTTCAAACATGTGGCCCATAGACATTCTGTAGTCAGTTAGGAACCATTTTCATACAGTATTTTCCTAAAATTTTAATAAGTTTAATGAATTTGTCTTTCATTCCATTCTATACTTTTGCAGTAGCATTATTGACTTTAACCTATCCAGCAAATGCAAACAGTCAATTTTAAAATCAGCAATCTCTATTCTAGTTCCTCTTCAATAAAGGGAAGAAAACTCAACGTCTCTATCAATGCCCCCCCCCATACCTTATAAGAAAGTACAAATGTACTTTGCAACAATATCTGGGTTTCTTTTATAAGAATTAAATTTGACAACTAATTATAAAATGTTGAAATAAGCATAGAATTTTTATATGCATTAAAAACAGTCTTTATAAGAATATTAGTGAAATAACTTGTTTTTGGGGACTTGTTGCAGTGGAGAGGCAATCAAGATGCGGCATAACTAACTCTGACATGAGGAAATGGAAAGAGGTGAGAAGGGAAAAAATTTGGTTACTTATTGATGTGGAAGTGTAGATAAAGTAAGGTAGACTACACAAAATTATTTTTTCATGGTGGCAAGAGGACTAGATTTGATAACATTTGGGTGGTGGGGGTACACAAGGTGACTGGTAACTATCATAATCAACAAAAAATGAGCACTTTTTTCTTTTTCATAATGAGAGTATGAATAGACTTGAACTTGTAGAGAGGGTACCTGAGGCAAAAGACAACAAAAACCATAGTAAATCATGTTAGAGATTTGAGAGAAGATTGTTAAACTTAAATTCAAAGGAAGACTTGGTTTTTTAGCCAACTAATTAATTGAAACAAAAAAATGGTGAGTTTCCAAAAGAAAAAGAAAATTGCTGAAGAGAACCAAACTTTTCAGGAAAAAATGTGAATATTTGTATTTTATGACTGGTAAATAAATGGGGTTGTGAACCTTCCTGAAAAATATGGCATTATCCAGCATTTTGGGAATTGATTCTTTTTAAAAGGTGTGTAAATTTTTTTTTTTAAAGATGTACTTAGCACAAACCGCTGGAATATAGGCAAAATCTTGCCTGCCTTCTCCCTTCCCCACCTCTCTCTGTCACATTTCCTATTGCTGAAAATTGCCAAACTGATTTAATACAGTTTTGGAGTCTATAGATTCATAGTTAGGAACCTATCCCCAAGGGAGTTTGTGAACACCTTGGTTGGGAATCCGTCCACAAGGTTTGCAGCCATCTCAATTTCTTTCTCTAAGCACATAATGGAACTTGATGGTTGGAATGCACTGCGTTTTTTTTCTTTCTTTCTTTCTCCAGAAATCTTTTGAATTATCATTTAATTTTCAAATGTCTTCAAAACTGAAAGTGCATTGTAATCGTTCTAAATTAAGATCTGGCTGTCATTGGAAAATGTATAGCAACATAATGGCATTAGAAGTAAAAATAAGATCAGTTTTCTGAAGACATAACAGATTTTGCTAAAAGGAATTTTGATATGCAAGATTTTAAGTTTGAAAAATATTTTTAGGATTTTAGTAATTTAACTTTGCTAACTCAAAGTAGAAAAAAGTGTTCCATATAAGCATTCAATCTCGTATACACCCCCCCATACACATTTTAATCTTCATTAGTCACTATCATTTCTGGCATTTACTGTTTTTGTTTATTCAACTATCCCTTATGTTTTTCTTTTTAATACTTTCAAAGTGAGCTTTTCAAAGTCATTTTTATGTTTGATTAAATGTTTCATTCACTATGAAAATGTTTTCTACCAGTGATAACTATACGTGTTTTTTTGGTTTTTTTTTCCCTAGAATTCATTGATGTGGGCAAAAAGCAGCGTGCATTGGATGCCCTCTATGATGTTATCAAGAGTAAGAAACATCGAACATGGCAGAAGATCCATGAACAGATTATGGCGAAATACCTTGAACTCTGTGTGGATCTTCGTAAAAGCCATATTGCCAAAGAAGGATTGTATCAATACAAGATCATTTGTCAACAGGTAAATATATCATTCTCTTTTTCAGTTGTGATTTTTTTTCCCTTCATTTTGTGCTGTTGGTTTTATAAGGGTTTATTTAAACAGTAAGCTCTGAGTTCACTCTTATGATGCAAATATTTTTTAAATAACAATTTCAAGGGATTACTATAGTTTAAAATACTAAAAGAACAAAATGAAAGTAGTTAACCATAGTCAACTTCATTTTTTAATAAATCTATCTATACTGTGCTTTGATTACAGTGGAGTAAATCTAGTGTGATATTTATTTTTTTTAAATCATAATTAAGCAAATATTGTAATGTGAAATATATTTCTCCATTTTAATGTGTATATTGAAAATGCATTTGAATTAATATTATGATGATTATTGTTATAGGTGAACATCAATTCTCTTGTGGATGTGGTGGAAAATTACCTGAAATTGGCTGAGAAGACTACGGAGGAAGCTCGGGAGCAGTCCCATCAAGCTGTTGTTGACGTTGATGATTTGGACAATCCTGACACTCCTGAAAGGTGAATTCTTTATCCTGTTGGATATAGTCTAATTGTGTATGTTTTTGATTCTAAACTGTCCATATTGTTTACAGATTTGTCCGTGGTCAAAGATTAACATTTGAAAATATTCTAAACATTTTCAGTGTTTTTGTTTTGTTCTCAACTTCTATAATGATTAAAAATAACCAAAGTAGGTGAGGGTGGGCATTTTGGTTTTCAGTCCTTAAGTAAAACTTATTGGTGATTCAAAATAAATGAATTTATGAGTTAAAATAAGAAAAGCAATTTGCTGATTTTGATGTTTATGCAGATTTAATTGATTGGGAAAGGCCTATATAATACTCATTTCAGTCAATCTTGTAAAATAGCTTTTCTTTAAAAATTGAAGTTAAAATTCCGAGAGTTTTACATAAAATACAGTAATGAAGGTGAACTTGTAATAACTGAATATATTAACATTATTTGAAAAGTATTAAAATAAAAAAAAAAAATCTCTTTAAAATTTTTTTTTTTTTTTTAAATTCTTTAATCTTTATAAATTGACAGTAATTTTTTATTACTAAAGATTTTTCTGCCATTTTGAGATTAACATTGAATAGAATTCCTTAAAGGAGGCATAATTCAAAACAGGCAGTTTTTGAAAATTTGGAGGGTTTATCTAATTGAAAATATTTTATCTATCTTATTCAAATATTTCATTTTATTTGTAGTTCTTTACAAGTTTTTAATTTCGTTTTGCTTTAAAAATATTTTCAGCTTGCTGATGAAAGCTGTAAGTGGTGAAGACACTCAAGACAGAACTGATCGTGCAATCCTGACACCATGGGTGAAATTTCTATGGGAGTCCTACAGACAGTGTCTGGATTTGCTTCGAAATAATACCAGAGTAGAAAGACTGTACCATAACATTGCACAACAGGGTCAGTTATTTCTTCCTTCCTTGATTTGGAATATCAGAATATTTTTTTTATTATTAAATACGAAGAGTGCTGAAAAATTCTCAGCCTGATCAAATTCTCCAAAAACATTAAAATACTTATTTTGAGAAGTGGATTGGGCCAAGAATTTTTTAGCTTCTCCCCTCATGTGCAATATTTTAAATCAAACTAAAGAATAATGTATACAACTAGAATATGTAAATTCAATAAATCAACTTTTATTTTCTGTAAATGCATTTTTATAATGTAAGCAAATGATGCTATTCTAGTTATCTACAAATTTAACTGAAGCAAGACTAATTCAGTTATTCTATATATTAAACATATTTTTGTTTTTCTTTTGCTAGCATTTCAGTTCTGTATTAAATACAACAGGAAGACAGAATTCAGGAAATTATGTGACAATGTAAGTGTCCATTGTTTTTTTTCCTATTGTCTTATGACAAGCAACACGAATTAAGTACATACATATATTTTTATTATTTATGCATCTGTTAAAATGAGTTTAAACTGTATACTTATCCTTGAATTTGTTTTCATTTGGCTTGAATTGTCTTCAGTGATGAAAGTTTGTCAATGTTCTTTTAACCTTAAAATGATTATACACTAGACAATCTCATATTTTGACTAAAGAAAAAACATCTATAAATGTCATTATTAGCTTTATTTTGTATTCAAGAATTTAATTTCTTCCATGCTGATCACTTCCTTTATATGATGGCATTAATGGTTAAATAGACCTATTCTACCATTCTCCTCCATCTGTCTCAGTTGTGTGCAAGAGCCTCGGTCTCTGCAAATGATTCTTGCTCTGTTCATGTGATGTCTCTTGAGCATCTTAACATGGCAGAGTCCCACCATCTCCATGTTAGACCACATCTGGTCCTCCAACTCAGTGGCTAACCTTGGTTGTAAACACGTGGCTATTGTATTTCATCTGAGAAACCCTTCCACCCTGGCCAGTGACCGGTGTTGTGGGGCTCCTTCACCCAGTGGTGCCCTGTTAACACTACCCCCTCATGAGAGATATTTAGGAGGTGGTTTAGGATCACTGATGCCTGTTCACCTGAAGGTGCAGTGTGCCAAACATCAAAGGTACTATCTTTATCCAGAGCTCACTATGCCCCCCCTCCATACATACATACACACACACACGCGCGCGCGCACACATTTCTGCCAGGTGTCTGAGTGAACTCATCAAATGTACTACTTTAAGAAATATATTTTAAATAATGGAAACAAATAAGAATAAAAATATAAAATTATCGTCAAATATGAAAACATTTATTTTTTATCTTTGTTAAAAATTGACTATTCTGAACCAATAAAAAAAAAATGTTATGACTCAAGCGCTTTTCTGATAAATTTGAAAATATGTCCTTGTTCAAACAAAAATGTTACTCAGTCAATAAATAAAAACAAGGATAAAAGAATAAAATTATAGGCAAATGTTAAGTTTGAATAAAAAATGGTAGGGAAAGGAATCGCTGATACTGAATAGTCAGAGATAAACAAAACAAACATTACAACTTGTAATGCCTTTCCTACAATTTCAAAAGTTATGTCCTCCTTCATAGAGAGAAATGTTACACTTAAATATAAAATAGTAGAATTATTCATGCCAATGTATAAGTAATTTAACAAATACAGGGTATTGAATGTTCTTAATATAATAATTCTTAGTGAGACATTCTTAATAAATTAAACTTGCTAAATAACACTTATTTTAAAAAATAAATATGTATTAAAGATTATAAATACATAATGAAAAATATAAGAATAAATGGATGCTTAAAATAATCAAAACTTCTCTTTTTAAAATACAAAATTGCTTTCTTTGAGCAATGAAAAAACATGTCTGTTCATTCCGATATCAGTGACAACTAGCCTTAATCAAATGCAGGATGATGCTTATATCTATAGAATAAGATGTGAGATAGCTTTCTCACTTCCAAATTGATGATGATATAGCAAATGTAGATAGGTATGTTCAAAAATCATTCAGTTGACTTAATACAACATTGATTGCAATAAAATAAGCCTTTTTTTCCTTTTTCTTTCAGTTGAGGACACATTTAATACAAATTAACAAACAGCAGCACCAACAAACTGCAATCAACTTGAACAATCCAGATTCCCAGGCAATGCATTTAGAAACACGTTTGTCTCAGCTAGACAGCGCCATCACCATGGAATTGTGGCAAGAGGCTTTCAAGGCAGTTGAGGATATTTATGGCCTGATCAGTTTGTCGAAAAAGCCCCCCAAACCTGCACTGATGGCCAATTATTATCAGAAACTGGGTTTAGTCTTTTGGAAGTCAGGAAATCATTTGTTTCATGCCTGCACTCTCCATCGTCTATTTCACTTGTCAAGAGAACAAAAGAAGAATTTGTCCCAAGAAGAGTTGCAAAGGTGAGGAAACTACAAATTATTAAAACTTTGTCATAGTCTTGTTCTTTCTGTCTGAATATTAAATGAAATAGTTCAATCCCTGGGATGGATAATGCAGACTTACTCTGTAGAAACAGGATGAGCAATAACTGAACAATACTAAAAGAAAAAAGATATCCCTAGACATGAGCAACAGAATAAGAATATTCTACTCTCATTGATTAAATAAAGGTTTCAATTCAAAATTCTCTGAAGGTTACCTGGATTGACATACACCTGATGAAGTCTGGAGGGCACAATAACCGAAACGTGATAACCACAAAGATGATTGCAGTAGTCCAAATGTAAATAATTCAGGTTCTTATTCTGTTGTACAAAACAGACATTTTTACTGAGACAAACAACTTTTCATATATAAGATAAAGAAAAAATATGAAATTGTTTACCAATCTAGCATGTTTCACTTTTATTAAAGCTTCATCAGAGAATGAGATGAAGCTTTAATAAAAGTGAAACATATTAGATAAACATTTCCTATTTCTTTATTATTCTGATCAATATTTGATCCCAATTCATAAATATATATATATATATATATATATATATATATATATAAAAAAATTGTCACTTATTGGTGTTGCCTTCAGCATCCTGACTCTATAGTTTCATAGATGGACACCTCAGCAATCACTCGGTTCACTTGTCAGGAGATAATAATGAAAGTTGTGATTAACAGTAAATACAATATTATGATAATCTTTTTTCCTTTAGAATGGCTTCTCGAGTGCTGTGTGCCACTCTTGCGATCCCTATTCCTGCTGCAAGAAATGCCATTGGTCAGATGCTGGATATGGACGATGGCACAATTGAGAAACAGAGGCGACTGGCTACTCTTCTCATGTTGAATAATCCACCAACCAGAGCACAACTCATCAAAGATTTGGTATGCAGACTTCATTTTTAGCTAAATATATATTTTTTTATATTAGATGTTTTTGTGTACACGAGATATTTCATTATGCTGCTTAGTATTCAGATATTAATACTTGAACTGGTAAACTTCTTTTGTACAAAAGCCTCCTAAATTAGAAAATGAGACGATCATTTTCAACTCTAATCATGAAATTTTTAAGGCTTTAGCACAATAAAAGCATATCAGTTCAAATGAACCATGGTGGTTGGAATTTATTAACAAAATTTTCAAAATTTCTTAGTTTTTTACAAATTTATATCTATTGTATTTGTACATATCTGTACTAGACAAATTACTATTTCAATTATGTTAGTCAAATACCAATGAACCCAGTGATATCTTAATTAGAATAAATGGTATTTTTATTACTTTTTGACATAGAAGTTATGCTGTTATCTAATAAATGAAACTGTAGGTCCAGACACTTTTACAGAAAGATTTGGAAATTTAAAAAAAATCTTTTCTAACATTCATCTTTTGAGATGCAGCATCTTGGTAAGTGACTTCTGCCTGGTGCTTGTCCAGCCAACAAGTACCACCCAAACCTCTTGGCCAAATCAACAAGATTCAAGGGAATACAGGACATTGTTTGGTTTGGCTGCAGAGCTTGTTAGGAAGAAGTCATTGTTGACAAGCAAGTGCTTTATAGGTTGTTTTTTTGTTTTTTTTTTATAGCTGTGTAGCAGTGAAGGTTTGAATTTAGCCAATGTAACTGAGCCCATTCTACCCTGCTATTTAATCCATAACTATGCAGAAGCTGGATTCATACTTTTTTCAAGAACATTAGTTCAGAAACTCAATGTTTGAGAGCTGATAAGCATTCTGCTCTCTACACTCTTTTCTCTGCTTTAAATGTTCATTAGCTCAGTTTGAAACCCACAATGTATCACTGAATTTGAATAATAGGAAATCTTTCTCTTAGTTGAATATCTTTTTTTTTTTTTTTTTTTTTTTTGTAAATTGAAAAAAGATGAAACAAATTTTCATTTTAACTTTAAAAAAAAGTTTGTTCAGCTATCCAATTACAAAAAATGATTTTATTCATGAAAAACTGGAATACTTTTATCTTCAAGCAATATTGTAAAATACAGGGTCTGTACAGGACCTGGAAACCTTGAAAAACAGCAGTAATCTAAAAGCTCCTTAAAGAGTCCTTGACTTTTCTAAATTGGGATGCCCACACATCCTTTTTCATGAAAGTCAAAATGCCGAATCCCAGAAATCTGGCTTTTTTTACAATCTAAAATTGTCTTTTAAGAAAATATTTTTTTTAGTTGACAGTAATATTTGGCAATTATTGTGAATGGTGGTTTATTTCTTTGATTAGAATGAGTTCATGACCGTGTAGTTACCTCTGTATTTTCTCAGCTAGGTGACTAGAAAAAAGAAAAAGGGTGAAAGAATATGAAGTTGTGTGTTCTCCAAGCTGCTACCATCACTCAAACAATAAAAGAGAAAAGCAAAGATAAAAGGCATCAGAGACAAGTAAACAGCTCTGTCAAAGATAAATTCACATTCATTGAATTTGTAGTTGAAAGGAAAAGAATGAATTACGGTAATAAAATACATTTTAGTAGAATCTTGAAAAATTTATCAAGTGTTCTTTTTTTTTTTTTAATTTGAACAATTGGAAGAAATTTTATTTGCATGTCAATTTCAAAAGTAAAAAGCATGCTGAAAAAATAGATACTTTACACATCCTGTGTCAATGTGCATCTATGTGTAAACTATGTTTGTCTAAATTGTTGCCAAAAGTAACAGCTTTGAGAATCAGTCCTAACTCAAAGAAAATGTAGACGGGGAAAGATGATAGAATAGAAAATGTGCCTTTGATATGTCTTGGGATAGAAAATGCATCTTTAAAAAAAATAAGAATGTTATTTTTTAAGTTTGCTGGTTTATAATGATCTGTATCTTTTAGCTTTTGTTGTAAGTGAAAAAATGATGAAATATATTTATTTTATTGCTTGGTTTTCTATTAAAAGTTCAGTCTGGCAACTCTGTCCTTTTTTTACTTTTGTATTTCTGCCATAGATGACTCCTAGACATTTGGCCAGATGTCATCAAATTTGTGAATTTGAGAGCAATAAACTGCTGCTTCCTTTCCTTGCAGATGGTCTTTTTAGCATGATCATGAAACTTAAGATTTGCAAAAGAGCACACAAAAAAATAATTACATCTTCCAAGCTAAATGAATTTGTAAGAATTTTGTTAAAGCCAAACATGACCTAAAGATGCTGCAAAGATTGAGTATGGATTTCTGGCAGATAGGGCTATGCAAAATTTATCCAAAAAAGGAAATGTTTCAGCAAAAGATATGTTTGCAAGCGGAATTGCAACAATGTTCATCATTATCATTGAGAAATTTCTGGCAAGATCTTCCCCTGAGATGCCCTCTTGTAAGGTCACTTGCATGACTGAACCTGGATCTATTTGTGAGAAAAATTTGCCACAGAAGACTGTCTAAAAAGATGTCTTTCCCACATGATGGACAGAAAACAAGTCAGCAAGTCCGATTGCATCAGTCAGTACAAAGAGTTTGAGGTGGAGGCTGCTGAAAATATTCCTTTCAAGAATTTCAGCAAATATGAAGACCGTCTAGACACTTTGTTCTACTCTTTATTTAGCAAGAAAGAATATCAAAAACTATGGAAAGTTGTTTGCAGATTGCTAATACTCTCATGGACAGGCCTCAGTGAAGAGAGGTTTCTCAGTCAATAAGGAAATATCCACTGACAATATGAAATGGCAGGCTCTGGCTGCACAGTGCTTTATCACTATTTGGCCACAGTTGGAGGTGCTGGGAATGTTCCCATGACTATGGTTCTACTCTGAAGTGCTTTCAATGTCAGAACAGCATACAACCAATACCTTGAGGCTGAGAAGGATGGGGAGCAAAGAGGAAGAAACAGCTGGATAAAAACGGAAATCCAAGCTTATGGAAATTGAAGACCAAAAAACACAAGTTTGAAAGTTGCACACAAGATTTACTCAAGTCAGTTGACAGCTATGTGGAGAAAGCTGAGCAGACTTGGAACTTCACACTTATCACAAAGTTCAATGCCAGGTGAAGATCTGACAAGTCCGTAGAGATATCAAAATGGGAGAAGAGCTGAATGCTAACTAAATGAACTGAAAAAAATGTTGTTAACGTCATTATGTTCTGTGCCATGTGCAACAAAAGCCATGAGTAGTAGTGGTAGCTAAAATGTGTAGTCTTTTTGTAGAAAATTCTGTTTGTAGTTCTGTTTATTAAAATCATTATACTTCACAGGAAATATGCAGCAGTCAAGAATTTTTGTAACATTCACAAACCATGAGTAGTCTACATAGCTGAAATGTGTAGCAGTAAGAATTAAAGTGTGTAATTCAAAATTTTCAAGTCTAGTAGAACTCCAAACTGTGTAGAATGTTACACAAAATGAGTAAGATAATCAGGTCTGCATTCAGTTGTTTTTTAGCCTTCAACACTGATTTCTACACTGCTTTCAACTAATCCATGTGACATGAATTATTGGAACCAGCCATAGCTTTTCTTTGAACATCTCATCTATCAAACTATTAAAAGATAAATCTCAGTTTGTGCTTTTGAAATTGATGACCATTCACTTGGTGCGTGTTTTAGGCATTGAAATTTCTTAACATAGTCCTGGAAAAGTCTTTCCATTTCTTACAAATTCTATTTGAAGCTTCTGTAATAAAAATAATAAAAAAGTGATTTTTGAAGAGCAAGTCATGATTGGAGTAAAAATAAAGATTATCCTTTGAGATAATTTTGTTCCCTTTTGATGTTAAGGTTTCTGATTATGTTTCTGCAATAATGATTTAGACTTGTTCTGTTTTACTAGATTTTTTTTATTAATACTTTTATTTTTTTTTCTTTTGCCAGGTGAAATACAGTGTAATTCAGTTTGTATTTCCTGATCTGCAAAACCTTTACCGTTGGATGGAAGTTGAGTTCCATCCACTGAAATTATCACACAGAATAAGTCCTTCTATTGAATACATCAATAACCAAAGTGATTTGAAACAGTATGTACCTGCTTTGCAGGATATTATTATTACCAGAGTTTTAAAACAGGTATGTATATTACATTAGATGTAGTAGGTTTTGGGATTGAAGATGTGCAAACATTTTGAGTACCTCCACTAAAATTGTGATATCTATGGTTTAAAATGAATTTTTATAACTGAAAACAGCTTTCTTGGGGCTTTCATTTTAGCTTTAATTAAAAGCTAAAAGATTAAATTTACTATTTCCACTAAGCAAAATAATCCGGTGTATTTCAAACAGAAATTATATTGAAATCCTTTTTTTTTTTTTCTAAAATACCTACCTTTTCTATTCATCTTTTACTGCAATGTAATTCTCTGAGTTAAAAAAATCTTCCAAAAATAAAATATATATTTCTGAAACTTTATTTGATGAATATTAGCTGATTTGAAAAAAAATATTATTTAAGATAAAAAGAAATGGATTTTTAAAACAAACACATTTATGTGCTTTTCATGGCTTGTCAATCACTTAAGCACTGATAAGGTATTGACAGGGTTTTTTTTTTATTTTCTTATTTTTTTTATTTTTTTTTATTGAAATCACCCCAGTAATGCCACTAAAATGGGGATGGGTACAGGGTGTGGAAGAATTAGGAACAAATGTTAATGGGTGGGCAGTAGATAGTGATTGACATTGCATTTAAATTTTTCTAGATTAAAGTTGCCTGGAAAGCATGGAGGTGGAAGGAAGTTCCACAAATGAGAAATGTGAGATAAGAAAGCATATAACTTACAGCTACATCTAGCCAGCACAACTGTAAATTGATGAGATCTCAACGGCAGTCTAGTACTGTGCTTAAATTCAAAAAGTCTTAGTACCATAGTTAAGAGCTCATCTGAACACTTGCCATGAAAGTATTTATAGAAAAGACATAGAGAAGCAACCATATGGTGGTGAGAAAGTGACTGGAGCTGAGTTGCCAGATCAGGATCAGTAATATTGCTGATTCTTCTTTGAATTTAATCAAGGAACTCAAGGTAAATAACAGGAGCACCAGACCATATATAGAAGCAACATTCTAAGCATGGATGAATGGTAGTCTTATAGATATGTAAGATAGGTTCTGGAGCTAAAAACTGTCTCGCCTGACATAGTGAACTGACTTTTTTAGCAGCTGACCTACCAATGAATACAATATAATATTTCCAATTCATATCAGCAGAGAACGTGAGCCTGGGAAGGTGCAACAAGTCACTTTCCTGGAGGATGGCATCAGGGGTCTTTCAGATGATTAATGGAGAGAAGGTTAGTTTTGAAAGTGTTAAAATTAACAAGCCATCTTTTGTCCCAGTTAACTACAGACTTGAGGTCATTTTGGACATTGGTTGCCATTTTGACCTTGTCAGACTGATAAGCCTTACTATTGAGGCAGGAGTAAATTGTGTTGTCAGTGTCGATACCAAGTTGAGAGTTGATGACATCAGGAAGGTCATTAATGAAAATTAAAAATAGAGTATGAAAAGATCTAGACGAGTGGCTATTAAAGATAACTTTCATTTCATGATTTGATAGGAAAGACTGGGTCAGTTCAGAAAAGTGTCCAGAGGCACTGTAACTTTTCAACTTATGGAGAAGACCTGAATGCCAAACCCTGTCAAAGGCTTTTGAGATGTCCAATGCTACAGCCTTGACTAACTTCACCATTTTTATCTAGAGCATAATAGACTCTTTCTGCAATTATTGTCAGCAGAGTAGCAGCTGATCTGGAGAAATGAAAGCCATATTTCTTGTTTGAGAAAAGGCCTGGCGATGAGAGATGAATTAATTCAGCATTGATTAGGGCCTCTAGAAGTTTCCCAAAAAGAGGTAGAAGGCTAATAGTCTGATAATCATGAGTAACCATGAGAGCCAAAGTTGTTAGAGACTGTGATGCCTCATTCTCTCGGCAAGCATCCGTGCTAGCTTTGACCCAAGAAGAATTCTCAGTGGCACAATTTTCAATTGGGAGTTTAAAGATGTCTGTCCAAGGGGCGTCATGGAGTCCCAATCAGCATGCTGGTAATGGAAAGGGGTTTTGTGGATGGGGGCTCCTGTATAATAGAGGATTGGAACAAAATATCAATAGCTACCAAAGAATGGTCAGGATTACCAAGAGGGCAGTGTTGTGAAACTTGACAAGAGTGAGGAGGAGGTAAGAAATAAATCAAGTAGAGAAACCTGTTGGTAGGAAAATGAGTAGAGAAGCCCATGATTTGACTAAGGGATTGGGCAATAGAAAAATTTAATGTCTGAATACTGGCAACATCAGTCCCCTTTAGAATGTTTAGACGAAGATGTTTGCAAATGGGTGGTGGGAAAGTGCCTTTTCTATACTGTCAGCAATTATGGCTAATATACTGCAGTCCTGGGAAGAAGGGAATGTTAAAGTTAAAAAGAGATAGTTAACAGTTTAGTAATAAAAGATGAAAGTACATGAAGTAGTAGTCTGGGACCTCAAGAGACAATTCCTTGTCCATTGAAAGATTATCCTGGATGTAAACACCAAGGCCATGCATATGAATGCTGGAATCCTTTTGGCAAAGGGGATGATAGAAATAGCCTGGAATTGATAGCAATGGAAGAATTTAAGCTAGTTTCACAGAGGGCAAAGATATCTAGTGACTGTTCCAAGATGAAAGATTCTATGCTGCAAAAGTTGGAACAGGTACCACAAATATTAGTGAAAGAAAGGCTGTTCATTTTTTTATATTTTTTTTTTATTTATTTATATTTATTTATTTATTTTTTTTTTTTTTTTTTGATGAGAGAGGGAAAAGACCACTGTAATTGTCACTGTCGTCAATGGTAATACAATCTGGTCAGAGTATGGCTGAGAACAGAGCATAGTGTGGCCTCAATGTTGCCCACTGGAAATACATGCAGGTGCACCTACCTGTGCATGGCATGGCACTACAAATACCCTGATATTATTCAACTGTTGATTAGAACAGCCTCTTTAAGCACTCCCAAAGAGTTTGTGCTCCTAATGACCATTTGGAAGCAGCAGCCAGCAAACTGCCAACCCGCTACCTCACAGTGGAAAGTCACAACCACTAGTTTGTCCAATTGCAAAAAAGCTAAGACAGTTAAATCACTGTGGCCCTGGCAGAAGAAAGAAAGAAAGAACTGGTAAACCATATTGAGAACAGGAAACGAGGGATGAACCTCTACTCTTGTTCAGTAGATATGAAAGGAGATCAGGCTGGACGATAGGTGAGCCTATCTACTATTGACCAAAACAAATCCTCTAAATAATAAATTATATATTTATAATTTAAATAATACATTATATATTTATAATTATGAGAAAAAAAAAGTTTTTTTTCTTTTTACTGCTGTTGCTACTGCTCCTGTTAATTAGATTAGTTGTTAATTAATTAAAATATATTATTGTTGTTACCATCACTAGTTCTTTTAATGAAATTGTCAAAAAAATTTAATGGAAAAAGAAAGTTAACATTCGGTCATTAAAATTTAGAATTTGTATGAAGGATAAAGTATCACTGCTGTGAATTTAAAAAAAAACGTTTATTTTTTTTTTTAAAATAAGATTAAATGAAACATCCCTGCATATTGGGAAAATTTATTAGGTGAACATTTTTTTTTTTTTTTTTTTTATATATATAATTTTCAACTACTCAGTAATCTTAAAGATGTTGGAAATGTTCTCTGCAATCTAATTTTAGGAATGTTGACTTGAAATTTGTAATTTTAACAGAATTAAAAAAAAAAAAAAAAAATTTCAAAAAATAACAATTTCAAAAATAAATTCATTTATTTGTGAATGAGTCCTGAAAGTTTCGTTAAATTCTGACAATTATTTGATTTTGTGAAAATTGCCAAATCAATGTGTTATTTTACTGGTTTCATAGTCAACTTTGTTACACTGTTGACACAATAAAAACAAGATTTTTAATCAAAATTTCAAATGTGCTAGAAAAAAAAAAATTTTTTTAAATGGTTAAAAAAAAATACTTAGTAGTTATAAAAAAAATAAAACATTTTAACGATAAAATTTTGTTTTTAAGTTTGGGACCTTTATTTATCATGCTATTCTGTTTTTTAGTGAAAAAAAGTGAGTTTTCACTTTTCACTTATTTATAGTCATTGTAATAGTCTGATTTTGAATATTAGATTCAAATAATAATTTTTATTTTCAAAATCTATGGCTGGCAATTTTTGCTTAAAATCCTGTAAACTGCCAGAAATGTTAAAATGTGTTAATATGGATTTCATGTATGTAAAATGTCAAAGAATTTATGAAATTCAATTATAAGTACTATATTATGACTTTTTTTTTTTTTCTTCCCTGCTTTAGGTATCACAAGTTTACCAATCAATAGAATTCAATCGTCTTGCTGCATTGGTGCCCTTTGCTTCTCCTTTCCATTTGGAAAGAATTATTGTTTCTGCTTCAAAACAGTTAGATCTACAAGTGAGTTTTTTTTTTTTCTTTTTCTTTTTTGAGTGACTTTATCCTTTTTTTTTTGTATCAGGCTATTTTCTTTTTCTTTATAGCAATCTATTCTAACTTTAGATATACAATCAGAAAATTGCAACACCTCGAATTATTCAGTTTTCTCAACAAAATGTATAATTGATCTAGGTGGATTTCAGAAAGTGATCACGTACAAATTAATTTGTGCACAGATTCCAAAATAAGGTGTGTATCAACAATATTCTGGTCCTCTTGTAATACACTGTATATCTTTATTAACATAGGCCTGTCCTCTCATCATACATAGCAGGTATACCATACTGTAATACATTATTACATACTTTTTGAATACAAAAGTGGATAAATAAGGTATCAAGATATGTTAAATGGAGGACAGAGTTGGTGGCTTTTTTCTTTTCTTTTTTTTCATTATTTTCTCTTTTCATTATTTTTCCCTCTTTTCATTATTTTTCCCTCTTTTCATTATTTTTCCCTCTTTTCATTATTTTTCCCTCTTTTATTATTTTTCCCTCTTTTCATTTTTTTTCCCTCTTTTCATTTTTTTTCCCTCTTTTCATTTTTTTTCCTCTTTTTTTTTTTTTTCCTCTTTTTTTTTTTTTTTCCCTTTTCATTTTTTTTTTTTTCTTTTTTTTTTTTTTCCTTTCCTCTTTTTTTTTTTTTTTTTTTACTGTTGAAATAGATAAATGCAACCAGTTTCTTTTCTCACATTTCCTGTCTGTGGAACTCACTTCTGTTTATTTGCTCCCTGATAACTACAATCTTCTTGAATCCCATTCATCTTTTGTCCTCTCCTCAATCCTTATACTCAATCTTCTCTTTCACCCCCTGTAACCTCCTTCATACTAGTGGCATTCCTGCCTTGCTTGAAGTGAAATGATTTAAAAAAACAAAACAAAAAAAAAAAACAAGAAATAGTCAAATGAACATTAGTACATTTGTAAACCAGGGTCTGGACAACCGCATGGTAGAAAGGCTCACAAAAGACATAACTGATGCTCTATAAGGGCAGAAAATGGCAGACCACACAGAATCCATAACATAGATCACAAAGTAGACATGGCCCCAAGGTAAACAGGGACCACTGGGAATTATTTACTTGCAGTAAAAACAACAGACATGATATATCTAGATTTCCACTTATCACACAATACCACTGGCCTCATGCACATCTCTAGTGCTGTCACAAGAGGGTCAACCTGAGTGATTGAATGGCACTATAGTATTCAGCAATGACAAAATGTTCTTCACTTATGCATGTGATAGTCATTCATGTGGCGAGATTTGGAAATGGCATCTTGTAAAATACATTTGTCCACAACACACAGGGCGAAGCAAAGAGCATTATGAGGTGCTGTAAATTACAATTCTTTCATGTTTGTAGAGGAAACATTGAACAGCACCATATATATCCAGAACATTGTTCAACTTATTCTACCATTCCTGCAACATGAAAACAATGTGCTACTTCTAGATACCTGTACTATTGGATACCCTACAAAATGCTCAATAACTTCCCTAGGAAAAAGGAGAAAAAGAAAAAAGCCAAGCTGCTCTGTCCCCCAGAGTAGCATGCTTAAATTCATGTAGTTGGGGGTGCCAGGAGGGGGGGGAGCTCGTCAGAGCAATTGCCATGAAAATATTTGTAGAAAAGGCAGAGAGAAGCCATGTCTCTTGCCACTACCAACATGTACAGCAATTCTCCAAAACTTTCACAAGCTTTTCTAAAATAGCAAAAGGTGCATGTGTCTATCTGTTGCATTGAACTCTTTCACCACGCTGAGCCCTTATTGCAGCATGTATGACCATCTAAAGGTCATACATGGACAATGCACTGGTATGAGTCACTGTTGCAAGATTGATCTACTATTCTCAGGTCAAAATTGTCATTCAGGATGTTGCAATTTTATTTTCTGCCTCTAGTTTGAGACATATACTTGATTTTGTTATTACCATATTTCTCACTGATTTCAGGTTAGAATCAATCATTGTCCCAAATCATTAAGCTTTGGCACAGATTTGATACTTGCTCAAAAGGAAGATATTCCAGAAGGTCCATATATTCAGAGCATGCCGAGTGAACGTATTCGCAATCAACTGGCCATCTTGACACAGGTCCTCTCTAAAGCCGTTAATTTAGTTCAGCCGAAAGAAAATGAGGTAAGAATTTTATCTCTTTATTCTGAAATGTGGATTTTTTTTTTCCCTTCAGTTTAACTGAATTGATTATTCCGACTAAAATCTAAGACTAATGGTTCATAAACAATATGAATAAACATGTATTCATACCCAAATATTCTGCTAGCAATAAGTGAGGAAATGAATAGAAGGGTTGAAAGATTATTTAGACAAAATAAATAAATATTTCAGTCTTACACATCACTCTAAAACACTGGTTCCTGTATGATCACTGGAGTTAAGCAACATCAAGTTTGGTCAGTACATAGATGTGTGACTGCTTGGTAAAACCAGGTGCTCTAAGCTTGGATGTGCAGGTGGTGTAATGGATAATAGCTTGGAATTGTTAATCAGAGATCTGAGTTTCAATTCCACTTGGGTTATATTCATTAATGTGCAAATACCCTTGGGAAAGGTATGAATCCACTTCTCCACAGTTATGGGTTAAGATTTTTAACTCTAAATCATTATCTGAACAAATAAATTCTTACAATGTAAAAATATATTTTCTGGCTTTTAATAACCTGTAATGGGTTGACAAGCTGGAGAAAATGTGATCATAAAAAATATTTTAGGCTCAACATTATAATGACTGCATAACACTGCCTTTCTATGCATACAGAGTTAAGTATGTTATTGGATAAAAATGGGAATTTTTCAGCTAAGCATGAAAGACTAGGGCTTTTTTTTTTTTTTTTTTTTTTCTTCAAAAAGATAGTTTATCACAAATTAAAATTGATGTGGCATTTGCTTGTTTTTTGTTTTAGAGTGACAAAGAGAATCTACGACAACAAATGATCAATACTTATAGACAGACTGCCAAAAAGGAGCACATGAAAATACTAAAGCGCCGACAGATCATTGAAGATCGTAAAGAGCAGTTGGAACATCTCAATGATCAAAGGGTATGTGTTTTGATAAATCTTACATGTATCTCTTGTATGAATATTCATAAATTACGCTAACCCACATGACTTTCGTAACAATCAGCATTTTAATAAACCTGTTTTTAACTGTTATTTAAATTTTTGCAGGAACGTGAAGAACAGGAGCAGCAAGAAGAACAAAGGCGCAAGGCTTATGAAGCTGAAATGGCCAGATTGGATCGTGAAGCAAAAGAGAGAGAAAAACAAAGATTGGAGGAAGAACATAAAGAAATTCAGAGGCGGCATGCCAAGGAGAGAATTGAGCAACTTCGTAAATCTGAAATGGGTGCCAAATTCCTGCAAAATATTGATGAAGAGGTACAGAAAATATTGAATATCAAGAATTAAAAAAAAACAAAAAAAAAACAGATTTCCTTGACATTCCCCTGACCTTATTACTGTCCTGTCCCATTTATTGTCTATTGTCTTGGCTTCAAATCTTTATTTCAAGATTATAAGCAAGCTTTATTGGATCAATACCTCAATTTATTCATTTGTGCTTTTTTATTATTATTATTATTATACAACGTTCATCCTGTACAAGTAGAGGGTTACAAAGTAAGAGGCACGGGTTATGGTGATATGTGGGGAAGATTATAGTTAACCTAGACATAGACAGGTTAAGATTGTAGTAATTGGGGAAGCATCCTCTTGGGAGTTTGTTCCAGCAACAAAGCAGTGGTTCATGAGAAGCTGCTGTTTGAATGAAACATATCTGACCAATGGAATATGGAGGGAATCTGAACACTTTCCATAGAAACAGCAGTATTACTGCAAAAGGCTTGCAACATTTCCTCTGTGAGAAAGGGGTTGTAGGGTGGAAATAATTTGTCACTGACAAACTTGTGGAGACACTTTTAAAAGTAAATTTCTTTTGATATCAGACATAAGTAAAAAATAAAATATATATAGGATGACTGTGCCATTTTATTTACTGCATATTTTTAAACTATAGGCTGTGCTTTTAGTTGGTCATGTGATGAATATTGCTGTTTGAAAAGTTGTCCCAAATTTGGGGCCATATTCAACCACTATTGCATTTGTAAGGCATCAAATTTTGGTCTTTTCAAATTATTCCTGTTATTAAAAAGTTAATGAGATCCTAAAATATTGTTATCTGAGACATTTCCAAATTTTTTATTTTATTTTTTACCTTTTAGGACTTTGCAGATTTGGATGTGGATGAAATCATGGCCAGACAAGTGGAGCAGCTAGAAAAAGAAAAGAAGGAATTGATGGAAAGACTTAAAGCACAAGAGAAAAAAGTAGGGTTTACTTTAAAATTTGTTAACTTTTTGTCACATTAAGATTAAACAAGAAGCAAACAAGTTTTACCAGTGACCAAAATTGAAGATTTTAAAATTTTTCTCAGAGATTTACATTGAATCCTTGAGATAAGTATATTTACATCTCTGAATAAATTTAAAAAGAGATTAAAAAATATATTGTCCTTGGAAATTTGCTGAGAAATTTTAAGAGATTGATTTGTTTTTCACTAAAGTAAAATTATTAAAGGTTCTTTCGCATATTTAAAACAAAATATATTTTTTTTCCTTTAGGTGGATTACTTAGCCAGAGCCAAACGACTAGAAGAAATTCCTTTATTAGAATTGCAGTTTGATGAGGAAAGAGTCCAGATGCAGAAATTCTGGGAAGAACAGGAAAGGGAAAGAGTATGTGTGCTTTTTGTTTTAGTTTGGGTTTCATGTTTGATAAAAATTTCCTGAAGTAAAATAGTATGTAATGTTTTGTCAGTCATTTTTATATATATATATATATATATATATATATATATATAAAACAATCGAAAATAAACCTCTCCCTACCAATAGCTAAAATAATAAAAAATCTGAAGTCTCATTACCAATCAATGCTGTTTAACAATTTTTATAAAGAAATATTTGAATTTTTGTATGTATATAGTTCATTTGTATAAATTATAAATGCTATAAAAATTGCTTGGAATTAATGAATCTGAAAAATTTCTATATTTTTAATACATATAGGCATTTGATAAGATTTGCCTTAGCTGTGTCTTGTATGAAATTTATGGAACAAGCTTTTAAGTGTGTGGTTTTTTTTTTTTTTTTTTTTTTTTTTTTTTTTTTTTTTTTTTTTTGGTAGTATGACAAAGGATAGAAAAATATTTAACTTGTTTAACTGCCTTAAAATATTATTTTCTTAGAAGTGATTTTTTTTTTTTTTTTTTTTTTTAACTAGTTCTTTATGGTTTTACTTCTCAAATGTTTTACTTTTTTTTTTCCCTACTTCCCTTTTTTGTGTATGTCATGTCAAAACTTCGATTTTTGCAATCTTTAGATTGAAGCTCTGAAGAAAGAACGTGAATATGCTCTAGAATGTAGGAACAGATTGTCTCATATGAAAGAAGAGCGTGACAAGTTCATCAAAACCCTGTCTGAATCCCGAAAATCAGACTTTAATGTAAGTGTGGTTTCCTTGTGTGTTTTTAGGCGTTATCATTGTAAGTGATTATAAGAAATGCATAATCTTCATTCTTGTCTTGCTTATCTAGGAAACTTGGAATTATATTGAACTCTGGTTAAAATGTAAACTTTTCTCTTAAAAAAAAAACAAAAAAAAATGAAAACGAGAACCATGTAGTCTATGGTTAAATAAAAAAAAAAATCTGTTGTCTAAAACCAACCCCAGAAGTTAGATAACTCTATATAAAATGTTCAGAACAAAATCTACATTTGAATGTTTACCTCAAGTGTAAATATGAAGAATGTTTAAAATTCACAAGAAAATTTTTAACTAAATAATTCTTGTTTTTATCGATAAAGATTGAAAAAAAAGTTTGGTTGATCAGATCTGTTTTTATATTTGATAAGAATTTTACTTTTTTTACTCTCAGGAAAGATTGAAAGCTTTTGAAGCTCGCCTACAAGAAGAGGTGAAGAAACGATTAAAAGAGCGTAAAGAGCAAAGAAAAGAAGCAAGGAGGGAGAAATATTATCGTGAAAAGAGAGAACGAGAAGTTCAACTTCGTGAAGAGGCTCAGAAGAGAGGTATTTTTTTTTCTCTCTCTCTTTCACTTCACTGATTATCTCCATATTCTAAGATTCCTATGAAATCTGTCATGAAAAATTTTCAAGCTATTGTCCTAAAGTTTTTCTCGGGTGCATAAGTTTAATGCATAATTGCTATTTATTCCCCCCCCCCCTTTTATCTAAAATATGGTGAAACAGTCAAAAGACTGTTAAAGTCTTGTTAAAAGTAAACATAAGATAACGTAAGATTCTCATTTTTACTTTATAGTTTAGTGGGTACACATTCTTGATTAGACATCTGTTCCATTTTTAAACAGTGTGAATTATATCTACCAGCCTATATTCAAGAAACTAAAGAAAATTCACCCTCTGGTAGAGTTTGAACTTTCATCTCATTTTTTGTAAGGAAAAAACCACTGTTCTGCTAGACAGAGATTGACAGCCCAGAAATACGCATCTTCTCTAAAGTCTATATCTGCTGATTTTATTTTGATAACTAAAACACAAGTAGTTTCTCAGGAATTAATGGATGTTTTTAATCAGTCTCTCATTATTTTAAAATTTAAAATAAAAATAAGAATATCTGATTAAAAATAAATTCCTAAGATTCTAATTATATGGATATGAGACTTTACCACACAGTAATTTGGCTGTTAGACTGTTTTTGTTGCGCAAAGGACAAATATTTAGTAGTTGTATATAATCTAGGAGGAGGGGGCAGTTTTTTGTTCTTTACCTATTCCCCAATTTTTTTTCTGGCACACACACACACACACACACACATATATGTGTGTGTTTGCAATCATAAGTAAAACATTGGAAATTTTCTAACATACTTCTTTGCATGTTTCTCTCAGCTCTGATAAAATTGACAACATTTGATGAAATATAAGTGACAATTATCTTTTAGTTTCATTATAAATTGCTTGATGCTGAAAATCTTTAGATTGTGTCACTTGTAGAATAAACTTAATTTTGTTTTTAATTAGCTCTATAATTGGTAGCACTAAAGCTTTTATCTAAATCATTTTTTCATTAGTATTAGCCCATTGGGAAAAGAAAAGGATAACTGAAAAGGTTAGTTTTTGCGGATTACATCATGCAGTTGTGATGATGCAATTTTGCATATCACTTGGCAAGCTGTGATGACATCCGAGGTTGGCTGTATGCGAATACACTGGCACTCACTATGTCCCACATGCAGTTATGGCCGTGATTGATATCAACAAAGAAATGACAAATGTTTTTCTAGACACTTGTTTGGTTGGGAAGTAGAAAAAAAATGACTTCTAACTTAATGTCTTCTTTTTGTTATGAGAAAGCACTTTTTTATCTGACTTCTCATTAAGTTCTGGCTATTTCACTGACTGCTGGCTGCTTCATTCATTGCTCATTATATGGATATTGGTTGGCAGACCCATCATCCCTTTCTATCCACTCATGTTCTACCAACCAGAAAGGAGGACCCCCCAGACAGCTTTTGGGTGGTCAGTTTTTTCAAAGGACTCTACTTTTATGGCTATCTAAAATCACTAACAAAATTTTATGTTTGTCACTTCAAAAGGTCCTGAGAAACCCTGGTCATTAAATTAATTTAAAAGGAAAAAGAATCTATTTCTCTCCTAAGGAAGAAATCATATTGCTATATAGTCCTGTTAATTAAACTGTGATGTGGAAAGTTAACAAGATGATCTTTTTCTTTTAGAATATTTTTCTTGCAAATGCTTTTTACAGATTTTCAAATCACAATTCTCTCACTTTGATGCATTTGGGCATTGAAAGAAAATAACTCCTGGGGGGGTCATTTAATTATAATCATAAGTCCTAATACTATAAGTGATTATTTGATCTTTATTTACATATATAATATTGTTTTTCCTCTAGAAATGGCTGAGCGTGAGAGGTTGGAAACCGAACGTCGGGAAAGAGAAATGAGAGAGAAAATGGCCGAGGCTAAGGAGAGAATGGCCAAGCTGGAAGAGCAGGCTGCTAAACAGAGGGCTCGTGAATTGGAAATTGAAATGAAAGAAAAGAAACGTCGAGAGGAACAAATGAGGTTAGTTTCTCAGTGATGGTCTGATTTTAATGTTCTCTTATGACAATTGATATATATTTTCTTAGTCACATAGACATATTTAGTTTAATCTAGCAGAAGGAACCCAGTAATTATCAAACTCACTATTCTATAGCATGAACCCAATGCACATGCTCCCATATTGTGCAGACATTTTAGAAATTTCCTTTCACTATTTGCTATTATAGGCTTGTGTCAATGTCTCTTTCATTGTTTTTGATATGGGTTTTTTTTTTTTTTATGTGCATTTTATAGAGAGATGATGCGTGAGTCTAAAGCTGAAGAAACCGTTGAGAAGAAAGAAGAAGAAAAGAAAGAGAGAACACCATGGAAGCCCGTCATTAAAGAAGGCGGTTGGCGAGAACGCACCTTACTGAGAGAAGACAGTTGGCGTAAACCAGATGTCAGGTAAGAGTCATAAGCACTTCATAATATTGTCTGATATAAAGGAAAGAATGCTGGACTTAGCTTAATTGAAGTGCATATTTTGTGCATATTCACTGATGTTTGAGTTACATATGGCAAAATGATAAATAGGTTATTTACAAATGTATCAAGTTTATGGTGATATTAATGGATTGTTTAACTGGTAAGATTTTATTGCTGCTATGGAATTTAAAGAACAGGTTCTGTAGAGAATAAATCTGTTTTTAAGCATTTTTGTATTTTTTTTTATATTTATTAAATTGCTAAGTGACAATAGCCACATATTTTATACAGAACAAATATGATTGTGGAATATGACTGCTGGACTTTAGAGATTTTACATTTTTTTTTTTTTTTTTTTTTAATAGGGCTTGACTTTCTCGTTAAGATGGGGAATCTCAAATGATCTGAAGGTTACTTATTTGTGTGTATATAATATGTATGAATGACTTATGTACTTGTGCCCTTTAATGTAATCACAAGCACATAGTTTGAATTAAGACACTGGAATAATATATTTATCTTTCACTCAGTCTAGCCAACTCCTATCCTGTGTCGAGCAATAAACTCAAAAGTTGGAGAGGAGAAAAAAAATTTTCAAACCTGGAAAATTTAAATAATTGATTATATTTTTGGAATTGTTCAGTAATATATATATATATATATATATATATATATATATACACACACACACACACACACACGTGTTTCATTGAATACAATGCCATAGTTTTTATTAACCCACATACTTTCGATCTCCTCTGAGATCATCCTCAGTGGGTTAATTGTGAAGACAAACTTATGTAACTGTGGTTGTTGAGATATATATATATATATATATATATATATATATATTTTATTTTTGTGTGTATTTAGCAGCATATTTTCATTTATACACGTTTCATTAAATAATATAGACAAGTGTTGTCTATTTATTTTATGTAAAATTTTTTCGTATCTTCTGATAAGTTTGGTAACATTATCATTAACCTAAAAAAAGAAATTCACAATATTTATCCATTATTTTTAATAAAATCTAAGCTTTCGGCTTACTCAAAGCCATTATCAAAGATGTAAATACAAACATATCAAACAATATACGGACACAACAGTGATGATATAGTCTGTCATTGTTTTGTTTACATAGTGAATCACTAAGCAACGATGAAAAAGATATAAGACGCTAAGAGCGAAAAAATCGCACCGCATCTCATGACGCCACACATGACTACTCGAGTCGCGGTGCGATTTTCGCTTCTAGCGCCTTATATGCTGCGTGTTCATCGTTGCTTAGTGATTCAGTATATTTATCCATTATTGTCTATATTATTTAATGAAACGTATATATATATATATATATATATATATATATGTTTGTTTTGTTAGAAATATTTTTTAGGACTGTCAGTGAATTAAAAAGCACAGTTTTAATGAAATTGAATTGGGCTAAATTAATGAAATCGAAATAGGCTAATTTTCCTTTCCGGCTGGCAACAAATGCTGGGAAACAGGAAAAGAGTATAATTTGAAATGTGCAAACTTTTTAAGTCATTTTTATGACTCCTGTATTTAAATTAAGCTAATTTTACAATAAATGTGGCTTTATAAATGTACCAAACTAGTCCACACTAATTTGGATACTGTTAATCTACATTAGCAATTAGTCAATGTTTGTGCACTCAACCCCCCGGTGGCCGGGTCAACATAAAAATAAAGTGTTGTTTCAGCTTCCTTATCTATTCTATTACTGGAACAATTATGAAATAGATTACCAAAATTTCAGGGAATTTGAACTCACAAACAATTACTTTACTAACAGTTTCTACTCATTTGAAGCCTTCCCCTTGTGTCAGCTTTTGTGGCTTACAAAAGGTAAAGTCAAAGACCTGTTAGGTTATCTAAACTTTTCTTTTAATGCATCATCATTTTTAGTTTAACCTTTAGCACACTGCATTATTAATATTAATTCCCTTTTCACTGCATTCTTTTTCAATACCTCTCAATTGCAGTATTTGTATTGTTAATTTCAGTCGGTTGTTTTCTGTTGCCATAGAAGGATATGACAACACAACTATGAAATTCAAACATACTATTGCTCAGGGATCAGACTCGCCTTCAGTGGCAAGATAAACTTTTTGTACAGCAAATGAAGGTGCATAAAGAGTGATAAAGACTAGAAAAAATTGAAAATAAAGGTTGGCATGAAAGTGTTACTTTCTACTAGGCTGTGTTTCTTTGTGTTTACCAAGCTGCTGCTTTATGGCTTCTGACCTTTTAAGCATATTTAGATTTTAGAAGTAAGTTAATGAAATCCATAAACCCAGCACATATTTTATTTTTTTCTTGTTACAGTAAAGGTGACGATGATTGGAGAAAAGCCCGGACTGAACGCATTCCAGCTCGTGAAGACCGTTTTGGTGATGACGACAGAGATGCCTGGCCATCAAAGGAACGAGATGTTTCTCCAAAACTTGTCTCTGGTAGGAGTGGCCCCAGGAGTCTTCCTCCAAGATCCAGTTCACCTCGAGATCAATCTCCCAGGGCCACTCCATCTAGAGACAGGCAACCAAGAGACAGTTGGCGAGACAGAAAAGAGGAGGACAGAGAAAAGTACGTTTATGAATTATTCCCCCACATTCTTTTTTTTTTTTCTTTCTTTAATAAAAGCTATACTTTCAGTTAGTATCTGTTTTGCTTGGGAATTACCATTGGATGTATGAAGTGGACTCTTGCAGTTGGCCAATTGTAGCTTGTCATTTGCAAGCTTTATGAAAAAATTTTAGCTAAGAGAGTAGAAATGAATTTAAAAAAGAAAAATGTTTGGACAAGGTATTTTCTGTGTGCATATATATATATATATATATATATATATATATATATATAGGGAAATGGGAAAAATAATAATAATAATGGCTGTCTTCAAGTCATTTGTGTTTAGTTAGGTTGCTTCTCATTTTTGCTTCTTGCAGCATTCTTTGTCTTGTCAGTGGTTCCAACAATTTCAGAAATCCAGGGTTAATGCTTGAATAGTTTTGTGTCAAAATAAATAAACTTTATTAACAAGAAAACCATCTATTTATTGAGATTGTATTAAAACAAGACTATTGTTTTTCAGATTATGCTTATATAAATTAGGTTGACCAGAAAGGAAGGAGAAAGAAAACAATTTTATGGAGCAACACCGACATTTATTCTTCAAAATAAAATCCATTCTTGATGATCTTTTGTCAGCGATCAACCAGCATCCAAATCTGTCTCAGATAGCAGTCTGCTAGCTTTGAATAAAAAAAAAAACAAAAAACTGTAAAGGACTTTCTGGCCACCCTAGTATATATAAGAATTTTAATTAATGTCATGTTTTAGTATGAGTATTATACTGAGTATGCCATGAACAAAAGGTAAACTTGGTCAACTAATATTAAGCTAGGTAGTGGTTTGAAATAGAGATTTTACTACAGAATTTAGTTTTATTGAATTCCTTTTTCATTTAACAGAGATGATCGATGGAACAGGCGTGATGATGATGACTGGAGACATGGCTCCTCACGTAGTGGTGGCCCATCCACCAGGGATGATGGTTGGAGAGACCGTGCCGCGCCTCGTGAAGAAACTGGTGGCAGCAGCTGGAGAGACCGTGCCGGGCCTCGTGAAGAAACTGGTGGTGGCGCCTGGAGAGAACGTGGTGGTACTCGTGATGATCGTTGGCGTGGAGGATCTGCTCGTGATGGTCCGTCTAAAGATGGAGTGTGGGGTAGGGACCGTGACAGAGATCGTGGTGCTCCTCCCAAAGATGATGATTGGAGAAATGATAGAGGACCTTCTAGGGACCGTGATCGAGATGAAGGCTGGGGGCGTGACAGAGGTGGAAGAGATTCCAGTTGGCGTGGCAGTAGCAGAGACGATAGGAATAGAGATGATAGAGGGCCCCCACCAAGTCGTGATGGTGATTGGGGTAGAAGAGGTGAGTGAATTGAATATTCTCTAAAAATGACAATAGTTAATTTATGACTTTGTTTCCCCCTTTGTATACCCACATTATTTTGTAAATATTCTAATGATTATTTATGTAAAGAAATGTTCTAGCAATAATATACCCTTGGAAAGAATGTTTTAATGATAATGTAACTTGTAGAATGGTATTTTTAAATAGTTTTTATTTGTGAAAACATTGTCAGTAATTATTAATTATTGGGTAGTATTTCTTTTCATCTTAATTCCAATCTGCACTTTTCAATGTAAATCAAGGTTGTCCAAACGTTTTTCAAAGATGACCAGATTTGATGAGGTGAATATGCATGAGGGCCAACCATTCTGGTTGGCATTATTTGAACTGTTAAAATTAAATGTAAACGAACTATCTTATGAAAATTTTATTGTAAATGGCATATTTTCATTTCTTCACATGAATGACAAATAAATTTAAAGGTCGTCTTACCAAAATCACTCAGTCTGTTATATTTGAAGCCCATATAAGATGAAATAAAATATGCCTGAAGAAAAAGAACTAGGAAGCTAAAATATATTTCTGATTAATCTCTGATTGCTAACTAATGTTGTCTGTCAACTTTTAAGTTAAAAGCATGAATAGGAACATAACACCAACATTCATCTTATTAAGAAGCAGAGAAAACAGTGACACACACACATATCCCAATATATTTATAACTGATTTTGACCAACAAAACATTTAATTCACTAAGATTTTAGAATTTATTCATCTCAGATGACCAAAACCAATAAATTCCACCTGCACTAATATGAAGGGTGATACTGAGATCTGACTGCAGTGATTTTAGAAATTGGCTGCAAAAAGCCAAGGTCTGGGCTCGCACTGTGCTGCTTCCATCTTTTGGTAAAACATGAAATTGTATTTCTTACATGTGTAATTTATATATTCTGATTAAGTGATATATTCTATGATGGGTGGGGGGTAATATGAAATTGGTCCCTGAGCCAGACTTTGGACATGCTTGCTGTAGAGGGACAGTTTTAATTAATGATGAAAAACAATTAAAATTAAGTTGAAGGAAATACTGGTCAAAAATTAAGTTTTTAAACATCTAAACGGTGCAGGCATTTGTATCCGAGGATGCCCGTTTTCTAGGGTGGCTAGCTAATCCCTATTGCAGATGTGTGCTCAGGCACATTTGTGTTTGTTCAACACCCACATAGCTCACCTGTGGTTCATACAGACCTTAGTTACAGTTTCTAGTGTGTGCACATTACCTAGCAGTATTAACAGTCTAAACAAGACCAGAACGCTCAAACTCTCTTGTCATAACTTGTGACTTTGTTGCTAGCAGGAACTACTGACAGATCCCAATGAGTTTCATCTATACAATTTCACTCACAAGGCTTGAGTCAACCTGTGGTATGGTTTTCCAAAAGGCACTTTCCAAAGTTGCTGCATGCTGGGATTGCCTTCTCCTGACAAATTGATCATGGTGAAATTTGAACCCAGGTCTCATGGTCAGAAAGTGAACATTCTAATCACTCAGTCATGCACCCATCATCTTTTAAGTATAAAGTTTTTATTTATTTATATTTTTTTTTTTTCAATTGTTTTGATATATAGAATCTGATCTTAATCCAATTTATTAGTTTTTCACTGAAATGCAACTGTGCTTTTACTCTTTTCATTATATCAATTTTAATGCTTTAAGAAAGTGTCAGGTCTTTAAATTTTACTGATTTTTCACTCTTTCCTATATAGGAATGGACCGTGGGGATCGTGAACGTGGGAGTGCTACCCAATCTGGTGGTACCCCAAGCCAGACACCATCTGGGCCTAGGAATTGGAGAACACCTGGCACAGGTAAGTCATTTATCTGCACTTAAATCACTGGTTAAAGCGTGGGGGAGGGGCATGAAATTGTAAAGATGAAGGAAGAGATACTTTTCTAATCTTGCTAATTCTATGAATATTGGCTTGGTCAGCAATGACTTGTAGTGAGATTATTACTTTACTAGTCTTCATGATATGCCAGTGAATATGGTAGCCAAATGCTGTTGTTTTTTTTTTTTTTTTTTTTTTATCGTTTCCACTTCATCTGACTGGCTTAGATAACATGTTTATACTTTGGCTCTATTAGACAATACAATCTATATTTATAGAGTTCTTCATGGGAAGAGGATAGTAACAATCTTTTTGGATGTCCTCATACCATGTATTAAAGGTAGACATAACACTGCTGTATAAAATGCACATGAAGGGCTATAGCTGAATTTATTTCGAAATATTCCCTCTGTTTGTTTGCCTTCAACATTGGGCAAAGATGATCAGCAGTGTAATAATTATCCATCCTATTATTAAAAAATGAGAAAAAGAAGTATTAACTTTAGAAACATCAATAATATAGCTAAGTTAACATACAAAAAAGGTACAGCTAAACAAATCCAAAGCATTTATGAACTGGATCACAACAGGGAACTTTTCTTACTAGTGTTGGGTGTCTTGTGAGAGAAGAGTTTAATTTTAAAAAGGAAAAAAAAAGTGCATTTACATTATTTCATTATTATCTAAAGAATTATCAGCTTTGGAGGGTGGTATAAATGTACATTATTACTTTCTATGAGAGGAGGCCTGGGTAATAAACAGAATACCAAAGGGGAATGAGAAGACTGTATAGATGAGCATCCACTGTCCAAGAATCGGGCTGTTGCCACCTTAGCTTTGTTTGCTCAATAGATACTCTATGGTATTCTTTGTATAACCAAAAAAAAAACGGAATGGAATTGAGAACTTCTCAATGTTAAAAATTATGGAATGAAAGCTGCTGCACATATTGAAACTAGAATTTCCTGTTAGTGTTTTTTTTTTTTTTTTTAAACTCTTTCCATGGGGATATATTACACCTGAAGAGGTGATTGACCAGCATGTGAACAATATATTCCAAAATATCTCTGAGCATGGCAGCCAAAGTTTGTTGCTAATATCTAATTGGAATAAATCAATAAATCTTGAAAACTACTACCTTTGATGGTAATAAGTTTTTCTTTGGTCTTCATCTTAATATGTATTTGTATAAGTTTTGTGATGCAAGTAAAATAACATTCTTACTCTTTTTAAAAAAAAAACAGATTGTGAAATATAATTCTTGGTTTAAATTGTCATTTCAGCTCGTGGTGATGATGATGATGATGGATGGACAACTGTTCGATACTAAAATGGAAAATTCATTTAGCTACACATTTTTCCAAATGACAAGCATTTTTTTTCGTTTTTCTTTTTGATTAAAGAACTTAATACAATCAATTTCTGAGAATTAAATACTAAGGTTTTAGCTTGATGAGAGGGATATATATATATATATATATAACATTGAGTTGAAGCTTAATTTTTTGTACTTCAAATCTGTGTCCCTTCTCAACTACCTTGTTTTTATTTTAGCTAAGACGTTATTTGTAGAAAAAACGAGAATAAGAAACTGCTCTCCACCCCCACTTGGTTGTCTGTGCACTCAGCATTTATTGGCAATAAAAGTGCTTCATATAAAAGATTGCTTTGTTCTTTTATTTGGCATTTCCTTCCATTCAAGCAGGTTTTAACTTTTATCACTATATGTGACTTCATTTGCTGTACAAAAAGTTTATGCTGTCACTGAAGGTGAATCTGATCCTTGAACAATAGTGTTTGAATTTTATTTATGGCAACAGAAAACAACTGAGGATACTGCAATTGAGTGGCCTTGAAAAAGAATGCACTAGAAAGGGAAGTTATTTTAATAATGCAGTACAAATCGCAATTTTATTGGCATGATTCCTCCATATTATCATTTATGTACATTTGTGTGTATGTATGTTTTTGTCGGGTAGGGAGATGATTAGTGCCTAAACTTTGGTTGTATCAAAGGGTGCATTGATTGCAAGTGAAATTGAACCAGCAGTAACAACTTCATTTAGTCCTCTCTTGACTTCATTTTTAGTTTTTCAAACATCTCAAAGTTACTAGTTATTTTTATTTATTCATTTTTTTTTTTTTTTTTTAAATTTCCTTGGTTTTTGAATGAATTCTTTTTCTTTGGAAAAATAAAAGAAAATAAAGACAACTGTTTTACATCTCTCTAGCTGCAGCATAAGAAAAGCTACAAAATTGTATATTTTTTTTTATATTAAACGTGTAAAAGATTTTGGTCAATTTAAGATTGTTGCAGACTGGCAAATGGATCTTAAGTATCAGAAGGTTATTTTATCGATAGGATTAATGATGTTGGTGTTCTTAAACATTCATCCACAACAAATTTAGAAACATAAATATTGAAGACAAATTCAAAATAAATCAGAGCGAAAACAAAATAGTTAAAGATATAACAATAACATGGATTTATATAGAATAAAAATACACAATTGAATCAAAGGTTGTTGAACAAGTGTGAATGGTTGAGTTGAATTATGTAGTGGATTTATGTCAAGTTTCAGTGTGTGTGAAACTGTTAAGATTTGTGTGTGAAATTAAACTAAGTGATGTTCATGTACAAAAATGTCTTTTGTGGCAGTTCAGTCAATAGTGTGTATGTGCTTGTTTAAATGATTGTGCAAAGCTGGTATGAGTTGTGTACCTTTAGTTGTTTTGATGTTTGATTGAATGTTTACGAATACTTATTAGTGAGTTATTATCACTTTTTAGTATTGTAAGAAATTGTTCCTGGTAGAGCGAAATGCTGTATGTTAAGTCAGAGGTTTGCGTGAGAAAAGTGTAGCTGGTTAAGATTTTGACTGGCGTGGATTAGTTTGGCATTTCTCCAGGATGAGATTCTGACTGCCTGTACTTGCGTGAGTGTTGGTAATGTTCTTTGACGTCTGAGCTCTTGAGAAACACCAGGGAGCTTATTCATGTTTTGTTTATATAAGGCTAGATATCACGTGATCGGCTCCAATCGAAAACGCAGGAAATATTCATTGTGTGCAGGCGATCTGATTGGTCGGAATGGACCAATAAGTGAGCTAGTTTTGAGAAGATTAACCAATGAATGCCTGTTGCATGATTTGTATGTATGTGATGATAATCACCACAGGGGAAGAGTGCATTTCCCTGCGGGGGTGACTGGCAAATGTGGAAGATTCCACAAGATCATTTAATGAAAACACATTTGGTTCTGATCTCTTTACAAAGAAATGTCCTGTCTTTGTGATCAAGCCAGTATTTTGCTGATGACTTTTCCTCTTATTATAAATGGCTTACAGCGACATAATGTTGAACCTGGTCAGTACCTAGATGGGAATACCATGTGCTGTAAACTTGGATGTGTAGGTGGTGTAATGGATAAATGGCTCAGGATTGGAAATTGTAGAGCTGAGTTCCAATTCCAGTCAGTTTTGTTATATTCACTTACGCCCCCTTGAATAGTTTTTTCAAAAAAATTCTTACAATCTAAAAATATTTTCTGGTTTTAATTTGCAAAAGGTTAAATTAAAAAAAAAAAAATCAAATCAATTGATCAACCTGAATAACATGTGCTTTATTGTAATAATGAATTGTTCAATTGCTCTTCAGTTCCTGTTACCATTAAAAATATAATCTAAATTTATTGTTGTGAATGGTTAGAAAGGATTACTTCTAACTAGGGCAAACATAACATGACCAACATAAGATACATATACAATGGACCCTTGCTTGATTGACTTGGGACATGCATGTAGTCATGTGGATTGTAAATGATTTACAGAAGTAACAGTGAAGATGTTCAAAGTGTCACTTACCTCCCCCCCTCCAGGAGAAATCCATGAATAAACTCATATATATTGGAAAAAGAAAAATTTGTTTTTTCTCACTGTCGTGATATTTCACTTTGCCATTCTTGAACATACACCAGCCACTTTCCCAGTTTTTGTTTGCATTAACATAAATGGGAATTGAACCCGGGTGTAAAGCTGAAAAACTTCTTAAGGTGCCTGTCTGTATATTCACATTGATATGGAGCTGATAGCAAAAACTGAAATTACTTCAACAAAGTAATAACTCGGTGACACGTTTGTCTTCAAGTTTTGTTTAAAAACTCATGGTTTGCATGGAAAAATTGAAAGATTTATTGCTACAGGTATGATGTCTGACATAGAGAGCTTGTAGGACATTTTAATACAAATTCGGAACATCTTAAGGTGCCCATTCTGAGAGGGATAGATATGAACTGATAGATAAATGATTAGATTTAATTTTTTTTTTTTCATTCCTCCCTGGCCTTTTAAATAGGAGTAGAGGTTTTTTTTTTTTTTTTTCTTATGTTTAGGATTGGGTTTCCAGTTCCTTTTAAGTCTACTTTAGCCTTATACACCTAACACTGGTCCTTTCCTACACTATTATAACTCCACACAGTAACTCCCTTCTTTGAGTGACTCTTAGAATATTAGTTGAAAAAAAGGTAGGGGGGGTGAAAGAATTTTGCATAAGTGATGTTTCATGTTGAGCAGGTGCAGAAATTTACCTGGGTAGTGTAGTAACAGTTGAGGGGGGGAAACTGATGGTGAAAGGTCTCCAGAAACTGAGCAAAGTATTAAGAGATAGGAAAATGACTTTGAAAAAAAAAAAAAAAAAAATGTTGAACTGCTTTATAATATCTGACAGATGTAGTTTGGATAAATGCTGAGAACATGGTGGAAAGAATGTAAGGAAAATTGAAACTACAAAAGAAACCTGGCATAATGAGGGCAAGAGAAGAGAAACCTGAGTAACCTATGATAGGAAGTTGTGAAGAACCATAGTCACTACTCTATCACTATTTACATGGTAGATGTTCAAGCAAACTACATTCCTTGGTTCCACAAGTTCCCACCTTCAATCTCATTTAGTACCTCTCTATTTTAAGTGGATCTTATACCTTGTATTGGGTGAAGAGAAAAAAAAAAACATCCTGAAAAGTATGTGGGTGTGTATATATATGTGTCAGTGATTCACAGTAACTTCTTGATAGAAGTTACTATTCTGAAGTAAACACATTACCCCACCCACTGCAATGTTAATTACAATGCATATTGTTTGTCAAACCTATGAAGAACAAGATTGTATTTGAAGCCATCTTACTCATATTAAAAATGTCAGAACAAATGTTATGATTCATTGGCCATATGAACATGAGGGATTTGATAGTATCTTTCTTTTTAATCAGATGGCTTTTTTTTTCTTTTTTTTTTTCAAAAACTTTTCTTCACATCCTATTTTAAGTCAAAACTTGATTTTTAAATCTCTCTCTCAATTTAAGGAATGGTTTGTGTATTATGACATATTTGTTTATTATTTTCACCTAATCTTGATTTTTTTTTTTTTTTGCTGAAGCAGTGAGGGTGCAGATCTAGCTTAAAATAGTTTGGCAACCCCGGGCTAATTTCCAGTTTGTATCTATCATTCACCAACCCCTGGCACATTTCATGGTTTTCAGAAGATCACAGATTAAATTCATGTAATTCTGACATTTATGGGGCGATTTTGAGTGTGTTGGATGATAAAGGGTTAAATTAAAATAGAGAAATTGTAAAGTATGTTGAGTAATGAGATACTGTTTTAAAAAAAATCCATTTCTGTTATTTTCAACTTAAAATAAATAATTTTTTTAGATCAGCTGATATTCCTCAAAGTTTAAAAAAAATTCATTGTGATGACAGATGGCTAAAAAATGGGCACTAATCAGCTATTTTTAGCTCCCCCTCCCTAAATGAATCAACTCCAACTAATGGAATTCCTGTTTGAAATATGCTGCAAAGTGTTTTGCTTAGAAATAGTAAATTTAATCCTTTAGCTTTCAATTAGAACTTAAATGAAAGCTTCAAGAAAGATTTTTCATTTATGAAAATTCATTTAAACCTTGGAGGTACCTATATTAAAGTTAAAAACTAAAAAATTAAGTACAGGAGTGGAATTTCCATAAAAATCAATAATATATAATTTTTTTTCTCTTGGAAGCAATGGTGATAGCATTAATTGTAGCAGCACTGGCACTGGTAAGTGATTGAAATAGTTATGGAAAACCCAAAATTTTAACTTTTGAAGCAAGTTGATCTTACCACGATTGGTGCACCCGCCTCCCCCGTTTTAAACACTGATTTGGCTTGTACTAAGCTTTAATAAATATTAATCAGTTCATATCAAATTAACTCTTGAATAAGTTTTCATTTTGAAAATCAGGAATTTTTTGTTTCCCATCCAAATGTGCAGGATTTATGAATGGCATTAATAATTCTTTCCACTGTAGCAATAGTAATTTGAATTAATGGTAATTTGTGCTAGATTTATATCGAAGCTAATTACATCTACAAGCAGGAGGAGGAGGTTTGGCATCCCTGCTGGTTAAAAGTAGTTTCATCCTGAATTTTATTTAAGTTCTGCCAATTTTTCCTTTGTCAATTTTTGTATCATGTGCCTGGCAAAGCTTTGTCATTTTGAATAAGAAATTGCTGTTCCCTTATTTGGGATTTTGTCTGCTCTGACACTTAGGAGAGTGTAGTTCTGATCTAGCTGGAGAAATGGTCGGAAGATTGGGAAAGCACTAATTCATAGCTAGTTTAGATATCAAATCCTTATCCACTAATGTACCTGTTAAAAACATGCTTGAATCTTTAAAAAAAAAAAAAAACATCCTTTTATCCTACTGATAGATAAAAGTAAAGATTTGCCAACTTATAAACAATGATTGTTATAGACAAAAATTCAGCTTACTGAAGGAATCGACTCTTAGTTTGTCTTAGAAATTCCAGAGACTAGCTCCTTCCAAAACATTTATGGTGCTGAAAAGTTATAGGAAAGTTTTTCAACTCTTGAACTGACTTCTCGTTCTACTGATTTGCAATCGCACTGCACTACCCATTGACAGATATTTTATTCTAATATTTTAACAGCATTTAAGATATCTACAAGCTATTATATAACAAACAAAAATATTTTTCTATCACAGTAGAATTTATAGCTTAGATGTTTCAATCATTTTATACAGTGAGTAACAAAAAAATAAAGGGACCAGTTAATTTGTTATGTCAAGTCTTTTTTCTTTTTGGTTGGAGGTTCATGGTCACTTTCATCTTCAGAACCAGAAACCTCTTCATCCTCTTCTGAGTTCTCTGGAGCTGATTCTTCATCCTCAACCTCTAAAGTAGAAGGATCCGTGGCATTGGTGACCCACTTGTCTTTGTTTGGAAGACTGTCAAGCCGAGTAATACTGACAACTGACCGACCAGCTTTTCTAGCAGCTACAAAATAAATACATATTAGTCTGTATAAAAATAACAAAAAACTTCAAACAAATTCAGTTAAAAGAGGGGTAGTGGGGGAATTGGAGGCAATAACAGAGTAGTTCATTTCCAAATAGATTGGATCATATTGAGAAAAGCTGTCTTGATTGAAAGATTTTTTTTTTTTTTTGTTCCTGAAGAGACTTGTTGGCAATCCTTCACATAAGCAATATAAAATAAACTATCATTTTATATCTTTAAATATTTTTTTTCATTGCAAATGGCACCCTGGCCATTGGGCAGTATCAAGCAGGTTTCCTACTTGAGGTGCCAGATCAGCAATCAGTCTGAAAGAGGTCACTGTATGGTATATTCAGCCTAGAAGCCATATTGTTTCAGATGGCTGGAATCAAGGAAATCAACTATGAGATATATACTCTCATGATGATGTTATTTCTCGGTACTATTTTTGGGTCGTGTTTTATCAGCATTTGTTTGCTGCATTGTCCACCATTACTCATTAATGTTTTATATATATATATATATATATATATATATATATATATATATATATAAATAAATTATAACAAACATGTTATAAAATCACTACAAAAATAGCCATTTTCTTTCAAGTGATGGTGTTGAATAAAAAAGTTTTAAAAGGTTCAAATCAATCAAACATCCCTCACTAGGAGAAACACTGTTACATAAGCTGCAATGACCAATCAAAATACAAGTATATGAGAATTCAAAAACTTAAACTTTGGTTATAATAATTATTTAATGTTAGGGTTAGACTAAAATAGAATTCATTCTAATTAATAAATATTAAATTATACTATAAAATTCAAAATTACCAATTTTAAATTTAATCCATATTAAGTTTAAAATTATAAGATTTAAAGAAGAAATCGAGGAAAAAAAATACATATGTTATTCTATTTATTTTGTTTTTATTGAGATTAAGTTGGAATAAATGCTGCTCCGAACTCCGTTACAATTTAGATACATTTAGAGTAAAGACATTGATAGGGGAGGATGAAACATGATCACATGTAATTTTTTTTCCTCGGTTTCCTTAAATAATTTTAAACTTAATATGGATTAAATTTAAAATTGGTAATTTCGAATTTTATAGTATAATTTAATATTTATTAGTTAGGGTTAGACTAAAATAGAATTCATTCTAACATTAATGCATTAAATAATTATTATAACCAAAGTTCGTTGTCAAGTTTTTTGAATTCTCATATACTTGTATGTTGATTGGTCATTCCAACATATGTAACAGCGTTTCCCCTTAGCGAGGGATGCTTGATTGATTTGAACCTTTTAAAACCCTGTATTCTACATTCAACACCATCACTTGATAAGACACCAGAAGTGTTGAAAGAAAATGGCTATTTTTGTAGTGATTTTATAATATATTTATGTTATAATTCTCTAATAAATAATTATATTTACTCTACTCTGTCTTGATCACTTAAGAATAGTATTTGTTGGTTATTGGAATTTATTCCGTATACATCAATCCTATACTTGGGTGTGGGTGGGTATATATATATATATATATATATATATATATATAATCTTGGTCTTATTTTATGTTGTTTAGGAAATAGCTGTTTATTTTATGCTACTTAAATGAAGGATATTACCCTTGTGAACCAAAATTTAACATTTATGTATTAGATCAATATTATTCTCATAATTTAATGCTAAGAAAAAAAAAAAAAAAAAAATTAGAAAAAAAGATTTTTTATAGAGCAATACTGTTAAAACTTTCAATTCTTAGAAATTGTTTATTCAATGGAGTTTTGGTTAAAAACTTTATTTGACAATTTGAATTCCAATATTTGACATTGTTTATAGGTTGCCAAATGTTCAAATTATTTCAAGATTTCTTTGAAAAACAGATATTTATTTTTTTACTTACCTGCATGTAACAACACTGAATTGCAGTTGGTTGACAGAGCCTGTTTAGCTTTTGCCTCTGATAAACCAAGCATTAAGCCCCTGAAAATAAAGTTAAGGAATATCCTTGCAAATAGAGAGTCGAGGGGGGGGGATAATTTAAGAAAAAAAAAAAAAAAGTTCTATTTTTATATAATTGTGAGCCATTTTTCTTGTTTAAATATATACTGGATACCCAGAAAATGGTCTGAAGTATAAAAAAATAAAATCTTTAAAGAAGTTTCATTCATCTTTAACCAAACTTATATAAATGAAAACTGCTGCCTATATATGGAAAAGTGTTTAGGGGGGGGGCTTTCTACAGGAAATTTATTTCAGACTTATTTTCTGTCAAACCCTTTCATGTGAGCATTCACTCATTGTTTACAATTATTGAAAATCTAAATACAAAGCCTGAACTGAAGCAAAAAAAAATATGTAAAATTAAAAAAAAAGGAAATGACTTGATACCTTTACAAGTATAGTAAGAAAGTTCAGATATACATGAATTTTGAGAAATGTCAACAGGCACATCCCCCCCCCCGCCAATCACAAATAAAATGGAGGCAACATAAACATTAAGATTTACTGTAAAGGAAATTATGCTTGGCTCTCTCAATCTCAATTTTTGAAGAAAAAATAATTCTCCCACCTCTTCAGGAGATTAAAATTAAGCAAAGAGATTCTATTTGGTTGATGTAGAGTAAATGGCTATGGTTAAATGTAATTTGTAGAACTACCCAACAAACAGAATTGCAATAAACAATTAGAAAGGAAAGAACAGGGTAATAATAATAAGCAAACAATATATGCAAGTAAAAAGTAGGCAAAGCAACAGTAATGAGGCAAAATGGTCACACAGTAAGAATGGAGTTAACACAAAAGGGATACAGACAAGTGATTGAGGTGTTCCAACTACAAGACGAAAGAACTAAGCTGAACAGGACAGAGACATGGCCTCTCTTATTGGCTCAGAAGAAGTCCCAGAATGCATCTACTATGATTTGTCTATATTTGGGGAGGAGGGATGTTTTTGCAGTCCATCCTACTTGGATTTGAACCAACAGATATAAATAAACAGAACAGAACTAAGTTTAAATTTTAGCTGAGGTTCATGCAAAACCTGCATTTTTTACCAGATCTAGCCCCCCCCCTCCCACCAAAAAAAAGAGACAATACCTGAAGACACAATTAAATAATCTGAGTAAAGTTCAAAAACATTTTAAAAATTTCTGTAACATTATGTAAATCTTTTCATATACAATGATGAGGTGGGGATAAGTATTAAATAAACACAAGAAAAACAAATGATTATTTACCCACCTGTATATTATTTATCTAAAAATGAAACTACATATAGGTATCATCTTTTATAGGTGTGTGTGTGTATATATATATATATATATATATATATATATATATATAATATAAAAAATGCATGAAAATATCAACTAATGCATTTATATAAAAGGTAAATTTAAAAAAATTGGGGACAGAAGCAAAGAGGGCCTAGTGTTTTGTGGAATAACTTTTGAGAAAACAACTTCTGGTCATGTTCTTTAAGTTAAAAATGATTTTCTTATTTCAAAACTGTTTGATTGCCTTGGCTGAATGTTTAAGATTGTTATCCTCCTGAAAGTCTGCTTTAAGGTTCGCTCAACAGTTGCAGTATAAATCAAAGGCCATCTCTGCGGGTGTTGAACAAACGAATGTGCCTGGGCAGGCGTCTGCAACAGGGATTGGCTAGCCAGCCTAGTCAACAGGCAAACTCAAATACAGCAATTATATAATTAACTTGGTCTCGTCAGACAAGAGAATATTATTTTGAAGGTATTTGTCTTACGTAAATGCTGCCCAGTAATTTCCAAATGCTCTATAATATGTGATTTCTTCAGAAACAATACTTTGCGCTCACCAACATCCCAAGCCATGATGGTGGAGTGTATTGCTGACTGTTATCCCTGATGCCTGAATGAGGTTTTTTTTTTTTTTTTCACAATCCTTGGCTGCTGCTTTACCATTTTTAAAATCCTGCTGGAACTTGTTCAAAGAGCGTCAGAATGAGGACAGTTCATTGTCACGCTACATTCCTCGCACTTGCAAACAATCAAACCAAAAGTGCTTGGATGAAGTTGTAGTCCTTTACCAATGATTATATAATCTATATTTTTAGAAATAAATAAAGAAAAGTCACTATGGTACCTTTGAGGTTCTTAAGAATGTTCCTTAGTTTTTGGTATTATGGGTGCTACTTTTTTTTCTTTAATGACAACAAGCAATGGATAGAGCATACTACCATCCTAGGAATGTTAGCTGTTATCTTGATCTTTAAAGAATAACCTACAGCTGTTTAGAAATATATTAGTTGACTTCTTTTATGAATGTGTAATGAATACTTTTGGCTCCAGCTTTTGAAATATATTTGCTGAAATGTTTCTTATTTCCTATTGTAAACATGAAATTGATACGTAGTATGAGTATAATTTTGAGGTAAATAATATACATATATTTATTCTGTTTATATATTATTTTTATAGATATAATTTATTTAAGTAAATGCTCTGTTTTTTAATTGAACAGTATTAATTATATTTACTGGCCTGAATGTTTGAGAAATTTTATATAAAAATATGTGCCCTCTGATAGGAATCGAACCTGTAACCATCATTTTATCTGATGTGCTTTTTAACCATTCAGCCACAATGAAGCGTCTGGTTAGTAAGGTCCAAATTACTGTTTATAAACACACATCTTCAACAATTTTTCTTGATTGATCATTTCTGCTCATGAAACATATCTTAACATAAACATTGGCAACATAATATGAAATGGATTAAGTCTGACAATTATTTAGTATATTTTCTGTTTATACGTTATTTTTATAGATAAAGAGAAAATATATTAAATAATTTTCTGACATCGGGGGTAACAGCATAATTGGCCATCCTACATAATATTTAATATCTAAAAAAACACTAAACTAATTGAGTTACTTTTTACCCCCCTACTGAGCAATAGTGAGAGGAAAAAGATAATTCCGGCATTCAGTAATTCTTACCCTGGCTTCCATCTTCAAATTCCATTCAAGAACCATCAAAGTAAGTTTAAAAAATTGGGAACAGTAGAAAAGAAATCTGGATCAGGAGGTCACAACAGGAAGAGGGATCATCATTTCAACTTAGAGCGAAAGAGATCAATTAGAAAAGAAAAGATCCAATTCAATCCATAAGATGTTTGGCATGTGAGAAAGATGTTTCAGCTATAACAGTTCAAAGAGTAATGAAAAAGACTTGAAAATGAAATCGTATGTAAAATGTGAGGCAACTTGTTACTCCAGGACAGAGAGGACAAAGATCATCTACAATAAGTTGGAAAACGATCCTGAAATATATATATATATATATATATATATATATATATATATATATATATATATATATATATATAAACTGAATTTCAATACTTCATGAGCTTCTGATCCTTATATATGATTAAGAACATGTCATTTTTGTTTATGATCAATTTCATCATGATTCTTCTGTTAAGCATGGAGAATAATTATACATCCTTATTGCTCAAAGTAGAGTCCAATAATGTTATAAAGGCCCCGGAGAATTCCAGTAAGATATCTTTAATCATTTCTAAGATACAACAATTCAAAGCTTAATCTAACAATTGGACAATTTTGCTGTTACACAGGTACATATTATATGTTGAACTTATGAAACATTTAACAGCAAATTACCTACCATTGTGAGATATATCTAAAATACAAGAAAGCTCAAGTGCAACCTATTGTTGGTTTCTATTTAGTAAAATATGGACATCTTCACTTAATAGATCATTTTACAAGATACTGTGTAGCATCTAAAATAAATTCAAAAGAAAATTCAAAAGTTATTCAAGTATTTTGATTTTGGATTATATATTTTGGACCTCCTAGTTTTCTAAACAATAATGGACAAGAATTCAAAATTTAGCTTTCAGGGACACAGCTCAAAACTTGAATATCATTGTACGAACTACACCAGCACATGGATTAAATGAGTGCCACAATGCTATACTTAATGAAATGGCACTCAAAACTATGGAAGTCACAAGTTGCAGTTTCTAACTTGCCATTGCTTGGTCTCTGAGCTCCAAAAATATGTCGCATAATGTTAATTGTTATAATCTAAATCAATTTGTATTTGAACAAAATCCTAACATGCCTTCTGTCCTGATAAATAAGCTACCAGCTTTAGAGGGTGTTGCCTCAAGTGAAGTGATAGTTAACAACTTGAATGTTATGCATGAAGCCAGAAAGTCATTCACACAAGCAGAATTGTCTGAAAAGATCAGTAGAGCTTTGCATGAAAAGATTGGATCCACTACTGCTCTTAAATATAGAAATGGAGATTGTGCATATTTCAAGAGGAACAAATCAAATCATTGGATCGGACTATGAACAGCTATAGAAACTGTGAATAAGCAAGTTTTGGCAAAGCATGGAGGAAGCTATGTGTGACACTATTTAGTTATGGTAATTGGCTAACTAATTAACCATACAAATTGAAAACGAGAAATACTTAAGGCGAGAAAGAGCTCTATCGAAAGATAGACTGAGCGACATTAAAAAGAAGAATTTATTTTATTTACAAAAAAGGATACTTTTCGCAAAAGACAGAAAATCCGTAAGAAAAAGCGAGACTGTGATTCTGTCAAAATTAATTAATGTCATGCTTAAGGGAGTGACACGCCAAGAGAAACAGAATTCTGAAAGAAAAACAAAGCCAACCAACGCATGTGGCTATGAAAAAATTTGGCTTGGGACCACCACAGAAGAATAGATATTAATTATCTTTCAGAGATATCATTTAACTTTAATTCCTGGTTCCAATGATGGAAGCCATCTGGTATATGCACAAATCTTGACATGAGAAGGAACATCGAAAAGGGAATCATTATTATTGCTTATTCAAACTGTTGACATCAGACATAGTGTCTCGAAAATGAGCATCTGGTGATAAGAGAATTTTAAGGCATGAGAAAAATAAAGAATTTAATTATCAGGTAAACACGACCACCCAGTTAAAAGTTGACTAGCGGAGGACCCAGGTGTCGAGATTTGACAGTGATTAATGAGTCAGTAGAGGTCCGGGCTAAGTGGATTTGGGTTTCCCCCCAAAAAATGTGATAAAAATTATTCGGCAATCTGAGACTTGTAAATGTCTTGGCCGAAGGAAAAGCAAAAAGAAAAAAAAAGGATTTTGTAAACAAAATTCTGAATAGTAATGCTAAGAGGGTGAGTCTAGCCACACCCACACTGCCAAGAGATCATTGGCCAAATGGTAGCATGGGTGATAGGTGGAGGTGAATGTATGAGAAAGACGGAGAAGTTGTTAACACCCACTGAGGCGATTGGTATGAGATACCAATGTGAGAGAGGAAGAGTCTAGGAGGATAACTCTCCTCTGACCTTCCCTCATGGACGAAGGAGAAAATCCCGAAGTGGAAAGTGATTAATCTTCCAAAAATGGGAAGTAATTAATTTTCCTGGCCTAAGAACAAAGAGAATTCTTGTTGGGAATTGGTCGGTGTCCATATAAACGAATGTCTCGAGGCAGTCAGTAGGAGTTTGGAGTTGGTTCGAGAAGTTGGAGACCAGCCTCGCAGAAGTATCACCTTTACCCCGGATTCAGCTTGCACTACGGCCCGACGCTTGATTGATTTCGTCTACCTAAGATCAAGTCACAACGTGGGTAGGTTAGACTTGAGATCAAAGCAGTTACTTCAGTGCCAAGCGTTGGAGGCGAGCTGAGAACGACAAAGCCGGTATCAAACCAGAAACGACCAGATTGACTGGGATACAGGCTGGTGGCAGCGACAAGGAGTCAACCCCAAAACACTGGTGGAAGAAACCTTACAGCTTCGCGCCACAACTGGGAGTGTCATATATTGACGTCGTGACCAGGGGACGTCACATATTGGCGCTGGACTGTGACTGCTGGTGGGTGTCATATATTGGTGCCATGACTAGGATAGACCGGTGTGTGTCACATATATTAGAGTCCATCTTTGTTGCCTACAAATGTATAATAATGATTTAGTTGAAAAGTTGAATGGGCCAACAACTGATGAGAGATAGTCCAACATGGAAAATGATTCATGGATAGACCAAGATGGTCTGTGTACAAATTTTGATCGCTTATCAGATGAAAGAAATGACATTAGTCTTTCTATGAGTTAAAATGCAAAAACTGATGAATCAGTCAACAATCCAAAAAAAGAAAAAAAATCTGCTAAGGAAAATTCTGTAATTTTACCAAGAACAGGGCAAGAGATAATGTGCAAAGTGGCATCAGACAATGATCCTTCTTAGAAGATGAGTTATTAGTTGTGCTGGAATGACTACTGGCAAACATAAAAATATTATGAATGTATGCGTTGAGGGTGAAGATCTGTTTTGGCTTGATTTTGAGAAGAATGTGGTAGAGCCAAAAAAACCTTTCTATGAAATGGAAAAACTACGGGTAGACTCTTGTGAAAACAATCCTCTTGAAAATGAATTTTCAGTAGACTTTTGTGGTCATTGTCTACTGAAAATTCATTTTCAAGAGGATTGTTTTCACAAGAGTCTACCCATAGTTTTTCCATTTTTTTTTAATGAGTAACTTTTTTAAGTTACTCATTAGTTAGAGACAGATTGGCCTTCTGACTCATCCCTAAGAGAATGGACCAGTATTCCAATAGATAATCTGATAGAGATGTTGACTTCCTGTACACAAACAACACACTTCAGAATGGGATCACACATATATCGACAGGATGAGAGCTTAGCAATGGGCTCGCCATTATCACCAGCAATGGTGAATATATACATGGAATACTTTGAGGAAATGGCATTAGAATCTATATCTCTAAAGCCAACTCTATGGTTAAGATATGTAGATGACACCTTCATACTCTGGCCACACCAGAAAGATGTTCAGGTTCTACTGGACCGTGTGAACTCAATAAGACCTTTGATACAATTCACAAATGGAGAAAGAGAGTAATGGCACACTCCCATTCCTGGATGTTCTAATATCTCGAACAGAGCATGGGTTCAAGACATCCATATAGCGCAAACCAACATTCACCAGACAGTACCTTAATTTCAACTCCCACCAAACATACAATGTAAAGTAAGGGATCGTCTGTTGCTTACAACACCGAACAAAAGTCATAAGTGGCAACCCAGAGACATTAGATAAATAATTGGTCAGTATAAGTACCACCCTACAATGTAACAACTATCCTGGGTACATAGCAGCAGCCCCGCAAAACTGGGATAGGCGGGTACAAGAGGAGGACAACAACACTCAGAAAACAGTCTGCCTGCCTTATGTGAAGGGGTTATCAGAGAAAATACGAAGGATCTGTTGTCCATATAACATCAGGACAACCTTCAAAAGCTTGACGACACTTTGCAAATATCTCTCTCGAGTAAGACCCCCCCGCACATAGAGGAGGACATGACCGCCCCCTTAAGGTAAGGTTTCAAGAACACCAAAAAGCTGTAACACGAGGGGAAGTGGAAAAATAAGGCGTGGCTGACCACATATGGAGAGAAAAGGGAAATCACTGCCCTCTGTAGGATCAGGTTGAAATCATAGACAAAGAACATCATTGGAAAATTCATAAATTTAAGGAATCAGCACATATGCTAGGCCACAAAAATCTGAGCCGACCAAAGAAATGAATACAATATGGGAACCAGAGAAAAGCAATAATAACAATGAAAATTGCAATATGAGCTCTGGTTAAAAACATGCAATGATAACAGCAAAAATTGCAATATGAGCACTGATAAAAAATGATGCTGAAGACGTTACGTTTATAATACCCAGAGATTCATAAGCACAGTGGATAAAGGTGTTAGTTAGATCCAGTGACAGGACCCAAAGAGTGTGAGTTCAATACCTGGTTAAGGCAGTGAGAGGGAAATTAACAAGAGATAACTGAAATCCATTAGACATGGCATGTGGAACTAGAACAGTCTACTGAAATAAAGGGTTCAGTTCGGCATTCCAACCACCTGAAGAAGGCTGAGCGCATAACAATCAAAACATTGTCTTCTTCAAATGGCAAATGAAACACTTAATACAGTTGTTTTTTTTAAATACTGGGTCTTATGGGAGGGATGCTAAATTATATGCAGATTCAAAGCTTAAAGTTTATATAAACTTAATACATTTTTGGGGGTGTAAATTCAAAATATGGAGTGCAGGTTGGGAGATATTGAAGGGAAAAAAAAAGAATGAGGCATGCTTAAATTTATATGATATAGGTTTTTTTTCACTGGAAAAAAAAAGACAATAATACCAATGTCCCTGTCGCAGCACATTTCAACCAACTATTTCATGGTATTGATGACATCAGATGTGTACTTTTAGTGTCTTCATTCAACAGCTGACCAGAAAGACACAGATTGGAGTTGAAATAAATCTTCAAAATAAAATCACATATTGAGGGACTAAACAGGGATTTGGGTTTACTCAGAGAGTATAATTTCCACAGGGAGCCCTCTAACCAACAACAAAAATAACATTCCTTGGAAGTCTCATTTCTTTGTTTATTCCTTGTCTCATTGAAAAAGGATGCATGTGTGTCTGAAAATTTTGACTTTAAAATCTTTCTCTTTGTGCTTCAATTTAGTCAAAAGGCTAATATATAAGAAATATCATCAATCTTATTGCCAACATTGTCATCATGTTGTTGGCTTTTTATTCCTCAAATTGTATTAATTAGCCTATTAAATCAACATTTATATGTGTGTGTTTGTTTCTTATAAGGAAAGTAATCTTAAATATGGTCCTATATGGTTTTGTTGAAGGAATTTCAAAAAAATGTTTGCAATGTAGAAATTCATAGTGGAAATGTTTGCAAAGTATGGTTCAAATTTAACAGAAAAAAGCTTTAAAGAAAAATGTGATTTAAAGATGAAAAAAAATCTAAGTCCACAGGATAAAAGGATACAAAGCTGTAACATCATAAGGACCTCGTATATCTAACGGCTGGAAAAGAATGATAAAAAAACAAACCAAATTAATACCTTCAAAGAAAATAAAACGAACATAATCTTAGACAAATTCAACATTCAGTCTTCTAAACAAGTGTTTAGGTTAATCCCTTATTCTCTGTTTAGGATTGGGTTTCTGGTTCTTTCTAAAATCTAAATTATTTTCATTCTCTTTTACTCCCAGTAGTTCCTTTCAACTTAGTGGCATTATTAACTTGTTTGAGGTGAATTGATTTAAAGAAGAAAAAAAAGAAAAAACAAAAAAAAATGTTCCAAAAGTAATGCCTTCTCTCCTATTTATTTTCTCAAAAACTACAACAGATACAAGGGAACACAATAACATTGTTGGATAGAGCAACTTTTCAGCTCCGTATATTATTTTCTTTTCCTCTCTCCACATCGGCACATCATTTTGTTATATATTTTTATATATTTTTGCCAGCTATAAACAAGAGGTTGCATGCTGGGATCATAAAAATCTGCACCACTGAGTGTTGACTTCAATGTTTGCTTTTATATTTTTTTTTGCACATATCACTGTCGTCACTATTAAAAAGCATTATCTACCCAACTGTACTCACATTCACTGTTTGGTCTTCCAATAATCATTTAGTACACATCAATAAATATCGGTGGGTGAAATTTTTTCTGTATGGAATAATTTGAGGTCACACTTCTGCTTTGTATACTTTTTATATCGGACATCATTTTGTAAGCAGTATGATTAAGTTAATCTTACAAATGTCTACATATATTTTAGCTTAGTCTGATACAAAGATGGGACTACAAGAATAATGGTTTGTCAGGCTAGATTGTTCACCATTACACCATAGCAAGGCATTCATATCAAACTTATATTAAAAAAAAAAAAAAATGAAAAAAGACTGAGGTGAACAATGTTGGCACAAAAGAAAAATAAATTGAAAATAATTCAATGATGGTCTATAAATTTTGATTTTTCAGAATAGGAATGTAGCAAAAAGCTGTTTGGTGTACAACCATTTTATTTACTGTTACATACTTTCTCACATTTTATTTTATTTTACTTGATTTTTTCCCAAAGGAAAAGTTTTAACTCATTTTCCTTCACAAAAGTCAGTTACAGCTTACAACCAACACCTAAACAGATTTAGGCCAAACATTATATTTGCTTGAATACATCAATTTAGATAGTAGATTGATTGATTGAATATCTATGGCTTAGCAAACTTTTGTAGATTATTTAAAGCCAAAAAATATTTTTAGTTTCTAAGACATTTTTGGAGATAATGATTTACTGATACTAATTAACCCATAGCTGGGGGTGGAGAAGAGGTAGATTCATATCTTTCCCAAGGGTATTTGGATATAAATGAATATAACAAACCCAGCTGGAATTGAAATTTGGCTCTCCAATCTCCAGTACACCACCCACACATCCAAGCTTACAGTGCCTGGTATTCCCAAGCAGTCACCCATCTAGGTACTGACCAAACTCAACATTGCTTAACTTTGGTAATCATACAAAAACTGATGTTTCAACATCCACAGAGCTAACCTATAGTTTATACTGCAACTATGCTGAGCAGACCTTTGTTACATCTTCTGCAAGAGAATGCATAATCTGGTGGCATTATTAAGTTTTAACAAGGCCAGTATGCTTGAATTCATGATAACTAGCACAACCACTGACAGCTTCCCACAATGTATTGTCTAATCAATTTTGCTTAATAGGTTTGGGTCAATCTGTAGTATGGTTTTTCTGACACTTCCCAATGATGCTGTATGCTGGGATCATCTTCCCAGGCTGATATCATCAAGAAGTCATCTCCTTGATAAAATGACCATATTGAGATTTGAACTCCGGTTTCATGGTTGGGACACTAATGCTCTGACTATACACGCATAGACAGCATACCACCTGTGTAAATTACTTTTGCTTTTTTTTTTTAGGTCACTTTTTAAAAAATAAGAACTTTAAAAACTAGTGAGTTATTTATTATTAATTTTTGATAAATATTTACTTTCTAATTTTTAAGTTGCTTTTTATTGAAACTAATCAGATGAAAATCAATTCTAGTCAAAAAAAAATTATGACTAATAACAAGGCTTCTTAAAAAAAAAAATTATTATATATATATAGTAAAGTCAGGATGCTGAAGGTAACATCAATCAGCTCAGTGCCAAATTTTATATTTGTATTAATCCTATAAAAATAAGTAGACATAATATGTCTGTATTATTCAATAAAACATTATATATATATATATATATATCTCACGTCAGGCGGCCTGATGATTGTGTCTAGCATGAAACAGTCTGTCACCTCTGAGTGTTGACTTCAATGTTTGCTTTTATATTTACATACACTATATCTGATATTGAGCACCTTGTCCCATAAATATAGTACATCTTTTATATATATATATATATATATATATATATATATATATATGTATGTATGTATGTATGTATATTATATAATTATTTACTATTTTAAAAATATGGTTCCATTGCTACACAGGAATTACCATGTTTCAAAATAGAAACTAAAAATTTTAAATTTAATTATAAAATTTAAATTTAAAATCCATAATTCCATTCTATTATCAAGTGATTTTTGGAATGCTCTACAGTTCATGTATCAAGTACTGTTTTTTTAAAAGTGAAAATAATTATTAAGAACATCATATTGTAAATCTTACTGTTCGTTCTTATTATTTTAATATACACACACACATTTTTATATATATATATATATATATATATATATATAAAAAATAATTACACACATATGCACAACTGTTACTGACACGGCTAGCATAAAAAATGAAAATATAGTTGATAAAGATTTTACTCAGTTTTTAGGTTAGATTTGATCTTCTGCAATGTCAAGCACTTGTAGCTTAATGGTTAAAGCAGCTGGTACATTAAACCAGACTTTTCTGAGACAAAAAGGGATACGAGTTCAATTCACACTGAGATCTTATTCTTTTATTTCTAATCCTATCCTATTTATCTACTGTCGATGGCATGAGTAAAAGTGTGCTAAAAAGCAATTAAAAAAAATGAAAATAAAATGAAAGTTTAAATTATTAATATAAGTTGGCAATGATACATGTGAGAAATAAAGTTCATATTACTGCTACTAAAACTACTAATGCGAAAACAAATATAGCATTGAGTGAAGTCATGAAACAGTCTGATGAGTTTATATGTTCAATTTCATCTTCTGTTAACTGCATGTAGCTTAAAGGTTAAAGCTGCTGGTCTGTACAACCGGATTTCAAATATCACTGAAAGCTTAGCTAATATTTTTGATCTTATGCTATTTACTCACCACTGTAGATTGATGCCCTAAGTATGGCCGGCTGCTCAAGTCTGAGTACACCAGTCTGCTTAGGTGCCAACTAATAATTTTCACAGTATGAAAAGTGGCCATAGAATAGTGAGGAGTTATAAATTAGATTTGGTCTTCTGCAAAGGTGTCAAGTTCTTATAACTTGATGGTTAAAGCAGTTAGTACATTTAAACAGTATTTTCAGAGGCAAAACTGGATGCATGTTCAAATCTCACGTGAGCTTATTCTTTATTTTTGATCTTGCACTGCTCAATAACGAAGATTTTCAGCCTGCGTACATAACTAAGAATTAGGATAAATAATAGTAAAAAATTAACATTATTTGATAATTTTGTGCCATGTAATAAAGCTAAAATACATTTTTGATATATGCCTGAAAGGAAACTTCTTTTAAACTGAGACAAATAGGGAACATTAATGATGTTCCAGTAATACGCAATTTGTAAGCAACTGTGCTCAAATTTGACAAAATCCTGAGCAATTCCAATACTGGCAACAGGGTGGCTGAAGAAACTTAAAAATAGGAAAAGAAAGAAGGGGGAGAAACAGAGGAAAAGAAAGAAGAGGGTGAAAAGAAAAAGAAAGAAGAGGGTGAAAAGAAAAAGAAAAGAAAGAAGAGGGTGAAAAGAAAGGAAAAGAAAGAAGAGAAAGAAGAGGGTGAAAAGAAAGGAAAAGAAAGAAGAGGGTAAAAAGAAAGGAAAAGAAGGAAGAGGTGAAAAGGAAAAGAAAGAAGAGGGGAAAGAAACAAAAAAGAAAGGAAAAAGAAAGAAGAGGGTGAAAAGAAAAGAAAAAGAAAGAAGAGGGTGAAAAAAAAGAAAAGAAAGAAGAGGGTGAAAAGAAAAAAGAAAAGAAAGAAAAAGAAAGGAAAAAAGAAAGAGGTGAAAAGAAAGGAAAAGAAGGAAGAGGGTGAAAAGAAAGGAAAAGAAAGAAGAGGGTGAAAAGAAAGGAAAAGAAAGAAGAGGGTGAAAAGAAAAAGAAAAGAAAGAAGAGGGTGAAAAGAAAAAGAAAAGAAAGAAGAGGGTGAAAAGAAAGGAAAAGAAAGAAGAGGGTGAAAGAAGAGAGGAAAAGAAAAAAGAAAAGAAAGAAAAGAAAAGAAAAGAAAGAAGAGGGTGAAAAGAAAAAAGAAAAAAAAGAAAGGAAAAGAAAGAAAAGAAAGAAGGAAAGAAAGGAAAAGAAGGAAGAGGGTGAAAAAGGAAAAAGAAAGAAGAGGGTGAAAAGAAAAAGAAAAGAAAGAAGAGGGTGAAAAGAAAAAGAAAAGAAAGAAGAGGGTGAAAAGAAAGGAAAAGAAAGAAGAGGGTGAAAAGAAAGGAAAAGAAAGAAGAGGGTGAAAAGAAAGGAAAAGAAAGAAGAGGGTGAAAAGAAAAAAAAGAAAGAAAAAGAAAAGAAAAGGGTGAAAAGAAAAAGAAAAAAGAAAAGAAAAAGAAAAAGGAAGAGGGTGAAAAGAAAGGAAAAGAAAGAAAAGGGTGAAAAAAAGAAGAGAAAAGAAAAGAAAAGAAAGAAGAGGGTGAAAAGAAAAAGAAAAGAAAGAAGAAAAGAAAAGAAAAGAAAAGAAAGAAGAGGGTGAAAAGAAAGGAAAAAAAAAAGGGTGAAAAGAAAGAAAAGAAAAAAGAAGAGGGTGAAAAGAAAAGAAAAGAAAGAAGAGGGTGAAAAGAAAAAGAAAAGAAAGAAGAGGGTGAAAAGAAAAAGAAAAGAAAGAAGAGGGTGAAAAGAAAAAGAAAATTAAACAAAAAGAGTAACTAAATATGTTATTTTATACTATGTTCATGAATTCACCAATTTTACTAGCTTATTTACATTGAAATATCTTTTTCTATTTATTAAACCCAACTGGAGTGCTAACTATTGCACAAAACATGAAGCAAGCTGCATACTGGTTGAAATCCTAAGTTGCTTATAAAAAAAATAAAAAAATAATGATGTAGTCGCTGCTCAAATAAAGGTGTGGTCTTGGGTCACCAAATACAGTACAAACATGTACAAATTTTAGATAAAAGTTATTGCTATTAACCCAATGAGAAATTTAGAAAGGTGAACAAAAATATATTTTTTGAACTGAAAAATGCTGTAGCCATTTGTTAGTAAAAATAGATTCAATCTGAATTTTGAAGGCAAAATTGATCTGAATCAAGTGGAGGAAAAAAAACAAAACAAAACAGACTAAAAACAAGCAACAATACTTACATTATCACAGCCACTGCTCAATATCAAATTCTGAAAATAATAATAAAAAAAAAATTAAAATTAAATATTCTAATTATTTATAAAAACTGAACTCTTTGTCTTCGTTGTTATTACAACACTTCTGCTGATCTATTCTACGGTTTTCTTCTGGTGGAAGAAGGAATGTAAATTCTTCCCAACAACACTTGACAATATAAGTTTTTCCATTCTCAATAATTTGTATAACACAAATTGTTCACTGTTTTCTTTTGGACACAAAGTCTTTCAAACTACCTGTCATCTTTGTTTCAGTCACTTTCCCAACATAGCTTCCTTGTATCTTTTCTATAAATATGTTCATGGTAAATGTTCTGATGAACTTTCCTCTATGGTACCTTAGCTTTATGAATATAAATGCAGTACTAGATTGGCAGCTAGGTCTCATCATTTTACAGTTGAAATGGTTAGATGTAATCTTAAGTACTATGTTAACAGTTTCTTTTTTTCTCTCTTCTAGTTTCCCACTCAACTTTGATTTTCAAAAATTTTAATGCAATGTCAATTGTTCTCTTCTGTTTTCTTAATTCCTTTTATTGTTTTCTCTCCTTAATATTTTTTCTCACATTCTTTTACACTCAGTAACCCCTTGCATCTTAGTGGCTTTATTACCTTGCTTGTGGTGAAACAATTAAAATAGGTGGCTAGTAATGTGATGACATGTGTAGGTTTTACATTCTGATGTTGCACTATTTCTACTTGCAGCAGATTCTAAATTCACCCGATTTATTGTTTTTATTTTAAGAAGGTCAGTTATTGTGAGTTCTTATGCCAAAAATCTCCATGAGTGGGCCAGCCTGCTGGGAGATGGGTGTTTTTATCATGACATCATCTCTAGGTAGATTGCCTACAAAGGCTAAAGAGCTTCTGTCTACCCATTAGGTGAGGATTTGTAAGTTCTTGCTCACAATCATCACCAACATCCTAATAGTTTTTGGCTCTCCAATTTCACTCACAGGGTTTGTGTCAACCCATGGTATGGCATTGCAGGCACTTCCCATTGGTTCCGCACACTAGTATCACCTGTTCTGACTGATATTTTTATCAAGCAGTTACTTCCTTGACTAACCAACCATGATAAGATTTGAACCTGGGTCTCATGGTCAGAATGCCAATACCCTAACTACCTTGCTATGCTCCCTTTTCATTTTTACATTACATAAAATCTATTTACAGTTGGCTGAAATAGAATTAATGTTACAAAAACATGGGAGGGTAAATGTGGGTAACTTGGAATTTATAAGTAGTTAAACTACCTAGAGCAAAAGTTGAAATATTTTTTTAATTATAAAATAACATTTTTCTTACCATTTGGAGCTAAGATTAAAATGAGGAGAAAGCTAAAGTTTTTAAAAACCCAGAACGGAAACGCAGAAAATGAGAGATTTCAATAAACTCAGAAATTGGTCAGTATGACAAATAAACACCCCAAAACACCTCAGACTTGCAATTTTGTTGGGAGTGGAGAGTTCAAAGTGTATCTGGACAAAAATTACCCAAGAAATTAAAACAATTTTGATAGAGGAGTCCCTTTCTATATTTACTTTGGACTGGTCTAGAAGCTATCTGGATTTTCTTCAACTGGGAAGAGAGTGATTGCTGTTCTGAATGGTAAAATTTAATTAATCTTACCATTTTGACGATGCAGAAATGGGTTTGAGAAATATTATATAACAAGATTTTGGAGATTTCTGATGATATTCACTAACCGCCCCACGCAGTTGGATGTGGCACAAGGCCGAGTTTATTGTGGGGTATACAAGCCCATAGGCTCGGGCAAAAATTCCCCATAGACCCCATAAAAATCGGGGTTGGGTAGCTGTCTACCACCCCAGATGAGACTGCCCTCTTGCACAGCCTTGTCTGGGTTCCTCTCTGCCCAGAGGCAGAGGGTTTAACAAACATACCTCCGAAGTAATTCAGAGAGTGAGCGAAGATTTCTGATTGGTTAAGAGCAGATGTTTAGTTTATATAAGAAACCTGGTTTGCCTTGTTAGGTGTTGGTAAGTGAAAATAAAGTCAATGAGATTGCAAAATAGCAATATGAAAAGCTGGACAAATTTGGAATAGCATGGAAAATGCTTAATTGGGGAATAAGGATAATTAATCAGAAACTGCATGGCTCCAAATAGGACCTATCTTTTGAAGAATTCCTTGGATTTTGGTCTACAAGGCAGTTGTAGTTGGAATAGATTTGAGAGTTGATACAATTGCAACCTGACTCTTTTGTCAGACAAAATGTTTGGCTGAAGACTTCAAGAGAGAGACAGAATTCTAACTTCAGTATTTATGACCATGTGATGTTAAGAAAATAGAGGTATCCAGCCACTTTTGCTTGAAGGCACAACACCACACTTCCCTGTATACACAAACTCCACTTTCCTTTTAAAGTTAATGTTCATTGTCCTTATGATGACTAGCCACTTAAAATTTAGCAACCAACTGTAGCACTTCAACCAGGTAAGGGTTAATACAATGTCATAAATCTGATTGAATAAATGGTACTTTTGTATTTTTCTTTTCTTCAAACCCTGAACATTGCTGTGCGTGAAAATCTTAGTCAGCTGTTCTTGAAATACTTGGACACACCAGTCTGGCACCAATGACTATGCCATGATCACTTTTCTTTCCCATACTAATGCTTGAAATGAAATTCAGCAGGTCACACTGACCCTGTTTAAATGTTGATATTCATTAATTTCTGCCATTGGATGATTGGAAATTTGCATTTAAACAACATTTCTTCATGTGTATCTAATTAAGTGGCCAGTGAGTCTATATATTTTACTGAATATGGGAGATATTATGTATAAATTTATATATCAATCTCATGGTGGGTAATCAAATAGATGACAAAATGGGGGGGGGGGCAGAAAACACTTCTGTATAAGACATCTTGTCCCTAGAAGGAACATTTTCAGACTAATAATCAAGTTTGTTTTTTTTTCATTTTGTCATTCAATTACCCACTACCCACAATGGCTAGATATCAATACTTAACCCATTAATGCCCACTGTCCCAAAAATGGGGAAGGTGGGCATTAATTGGTTAAAAATGGCAATACATAAACAACTGATGAAAGTCAAAGAATGCATCAGCTGAAATATATATATATATATATATATATATATATATAACAAAAAAAAATATCAGTGCAAATAATTTGTTGAAAAAACAAAACAAAACGAAAAATTATTAGAAACATCACTTATTTTTTAACACTTTTCTTCAACTGAAATTAAACAATTTCTTATCAGAAAAAAAAATAGCAGAAAAATAATTTGTTTTAACCTTTTATATATTTTGGTTGGTTGTTTTTGTTTAGTGGCATATCTATGGGTCATTTATTATTTAACAATTTGTATGCAATTTTATGTCTTCAACTACAGATATTTTGTAAATAATTTTATACTTTTAGGGCAAATGTATGTTTTCTTTGTAGTTGATAAAATATATATTTTATTCTTTTTTTTATAGAAATATATTGCTAGTCACTTTTATTTAACCCTATGTTACTCACATAGGATGTTTTGCTACCTCAAAATTTTTAAAGTACTTCTGATTCCTATTTTGTTTCTTTTGCTCTTCTGATTCAGTGTGTAGCACATAGTGTGGTGAAGTTGTAGTTCAGTTGTTGTGCTAGGCAGATGCTAGGGGACTATAAATTTTCAGAAATCTGAGGTGACTGACACAAAGTTAAAAATGTAAAAATGTTGGTAATTTTTTTTTCTAAAAATGTACTGCTCATATTTTTTACTATAAAAATGTATTTTTATACTTTCCTAGTGCTTTGATTTTTACTTGGGGGGGGGTTCACTATTTTGTTCGGACACTGGATCAGGGTGGAGCTGGGTCCAACAACAATTAAGAAGTGGTTTCATATGCTTGAATACCTGCAATCTCCTGATAAGAGGCCTTGCTGCTGGATGTAGTTTATAGTCATACCCATGACTATTTTATCTCTTTTAAAATGGGAGATGGCTTAAAAGAAAAGATAAATAAAAACAAATAAATACCCATCTTTTTACTTAAATAAATAAAATGAGAACTAATTACTTTTCCTTTTCCAACTTCCAGAAGCATTTGTACATTGGCAATGATATTCTTGCAAGCCTCTCTGTCTCGGATCATTGGTCCATATTGGATTTCAAAGAAAACTCCTCGTTCAACTGCCTGAAAGCAAACAAAATTAAATTTCTTAAAATGCATTGTAATTCTTTGATAGCATTTAACAATTTAAGTTCTATATTTGACAGTGTATCATTGAAACTTGCTAAAATAAAACAAAAATAATAACCTGCATCCCATGTAGAAAAAGATAAAACTGGTTTATAAACAAATATTTAGTCCTGACTACTGTAGACAGGAATTGACTTCCTGAAAATTTCCCAGATGAAATAGGGTCATGTTTCGGGTTTTATTTGCCCTTATACTCATGGATTCTGTTAGCCTTTTACTGAATCGGCAAATCCCTCTATGTTGTGTTTCTTGCTTGCACAAAAACTGGGAAACGTACGATCACTGAAGTTAAGCAATTTCGAACCTGATCAGTACCCAGATGGGTGATTGCTTGGGAATATCAGATGGTATAAACTTGGATGTGCAGGTGGTGTAACGGACAATGACTCAGAATTGTTAATTGATGAGCTGAGTTCCAATTCCAGATGGATTTGTTATATTCACTTAAATGCAAATACCCTTAGGAAAGGGATGAACCCACAACTTAGTCTCCAGTTAAGACTTATGAAATCATCTAAACAAAAAAAAAAAAAAAATTTATTTTCTTAGATTCTGAAAAAATATTTTTGGGCTTTAAATAAGCTGTAAAGAGTTGATAAGCCATAAAAAACAAATAAAAATCCCCAAAACTAGGAAGGCCTGTTGTATGTCCACTAGGAAACAGAAGGTAAAATCAATGATTATATATATATATATATATATACACACACACACACACACACACAAGTATAAGATTGGTGTAGATGGAATAAAATTCCAATAACCAAAAACACTATTCTAAAAAGAGTAGAGCAAATAGTATTTATTAAAAAATTATAACATAAATATGTTATCACTACAAAATGGCTATTTTTGTACTGATGCTAAACATATTTATGTTATAATTTTTGAATATATATATATATTATTATTATTATTATTTGCTCTGGATTTTATCCTCCTTAAGTTTACCCATACGGATTACCTAGTTTTTCATAAACTATATATATATATATATATATAAACACGAAGCTTGTAATTGTGAGCAGACTCAGATTAGTCCAAGGATTCCCAACGTGGGGCACATACTCCACCGGTGGGGCATGCTAATATTTTGGTGACCATGCGTAGGATATGCACCCTTCAGCTTAATATACCAACAGAATAAGGGGGGCAATTTGAGAATGAGTTATTAACAGTGAATTGTTTTCTAGTGAGTTTGAGTGAAAGTGTTGATGCTAATGTGTGTTAATACATACAATGCATATACAGTATGCATACATAAAAATATTTTGTGTGCATGTATGTACATGTGTCATTGGCATACAGGGTATTTCCTGTCTGTCCACACTCACGTGTCTTGGTCAACAAAAGATAAAATCTATCTGTAGCAGGCACGATGCATAAGGGTCTCACTAACAGTCATTTTGTGATGAGCTCAAATTTCATTTTGCATTATTATTTTATGATTAAAATGATCAAAGTATATTACAGAATAAACCTTCATTTAAATATTTTATATTTATGCCTTTCAGTTCTCTATTATATATTTTGAAACTATATATACTTAACTGTCTTTTTGTTTTTTTTTTCTTTCATGGACGCCATGTTCTTTGGAGGCTTGTTTAGAGACCAAGTTAATGGCCTTTTAAGCTTCCTTCATGTGAATTGCAGTAAAATTTTGAATATGTAAAAATTAAATATTACAGGGGGTCACCAGAATTTTAGAAAAACCAAATTGGGACATGGCCCAAAATTGGTTGGGAGCCACTGGGTCAGTTCAAAAATTGTGCATATTTTAAACATGAAGTGAGGCTCAATTTGTTTTTAATGTAACTTATGGAAAATAACTGAAATTTCTGACTGATTACGCTCAGCTAAAATTACATGAGTATATACTGTATATTTCCGTGTATAAGAACCTTTAAATCTTAAAAATCACCCTTAAAAATTTGGGCTCAACTTGTACTACAATTCTAAAAAAGAAACCTTAAATTCTGGGTGATATTTGTCATCAGGTTAACCTCGGCCTCAATGTGATAACCAATAATGTACATGAAAAGATTCAGATTATCAAATAAATTGATAATTATAGTAAGAAAACCATTCCTACCTATATTACTGGCATAACTTCATAATAAATTGCCTATTTGAAGAATAATTTCATATCTATGAAATCAACTTTTATCCATGCAAGCTCAGCTGAGAAAATTAAACATCAAGTTATGATGGTGTTCACAGCAACCTTTATCTTTCGCTAAACTTTTAATAAGAGACTGGGTAAAAAAAAAAAAAAATGTTGAAAGTGGAATGTGCTATTATTGTACTGTTATTAGTGGTATTTTGTGATTGTTGAAGTATAAGTAAATGGCCATTAGTACACCAGGCTGTTTGTAACTGTTTAAATATAGGAAAAGAAGAGGAGGAGGAAGAATAATAATAATCAGTATTCACAAGAGATCACGTGATGAAATGTAAGCAAAACTGGTTTCCCTTTTAGATGACGTGTGTAAGAAAAACATGATATAGAATTGGTTTTGTTATTTCATTTATTTTGAATTTCTAAGAATACGGTAAGTAGCAACATTTTCAATTAACATCATCTTTATATAATCAATAAACAGTCATTAAGATAAATTCATGAAAATTTGTTATGTTTTTGACCTTGTCTTATCTAAAGGTCACCTTGTGTGTGTGTATATATATATATATATATATAATTATTTTTATAAAAAATTATAACATAAGTATGTTATAAGATCACTATAAAAATAGAATATTTTGTTTCAACACATTCTGTGTCTTGTTCAAGTGATGATGTTGAAAATAAAATAAATGGTTTTAAAAAGTTTCAGATTAATTAACGATCCTACACTAGGGGAGCATTGTTACAAAAGCTAGAATAACCAATCAAAACGAAGTATAGAAAGATTTTGACAACGAAATCCTGCTATAATAGCTATTCAGATCTTTAAATACGTGTAATATTAAAAAATAATTTATACTAACTAATAATTATAAAATCATATGATAAAATTTAATATTAAAATTAAAAATTGGTAATTTTAAAATCCAAATTTAATCACTATTAAGTTTAAAAAACTACAAAAATTATTGAGAAAAGAAAAAAATATATATGTTTATTCAATTCATTTCTTCATTGAAATTATGTTAAAATAAGGACGCTACAATATATCCGTTCATTTGATAATACATGTATATATATATATTTTTCCCTTTCCTTTCATTTCCGTTTTATTTTAAAGTTTGTGGATGTGGTCTTAAAAAAAAGTCAAGACAACAAAAAACACAATCAGATTATAAACATAAGCACCCAGACATAATTAGATACACACACACACACAACACACACACACACACATACAACACTAAAAAGAAAAAAAAAAAAAAAAAAAAAGAAGGAGGTGGTGGGAAAAAACATGAACATCTCTACAGCCCTTTATGAAAAAAAGGAGACGTGGAAACTAACACTAAACACACACACAGTGAATACACTCTACATACACATAGACACCTAGATACACATACATACATCCACAGACAATGTAAATATTTCAGACTTAAATAAAACTTATTGAATTATATATATACAAAGATAAAAATGGTTAAAAATAATATTATTTAATATATTAAAACGAAAAATTCTAAAACCATAAATATCAATTATATTAATCATATAAGTTGATAATAGCTTCATTATATATTAGGCAAGAAAACAGTATACAGAAACACACAACCATATATATATATATATATATATATACACGGGAGCAAAAAACAAATTAACACACATAAATATACACTCATACATACATATACATATATATTTACATACAGAAATTACAAATAAATATATAAACATAAAACATATACGCACATATACATATCTATGATAACAATAATATATAAACCTAAATACACCCACATATATACACACAAACTTTTATGCACACATACTTACATATATAAAAACAGTCATGATATACCAAAGTTTCCATACCCCACATTCATACATAATAGGTGTTAACACACACATATATATATATATACATAAACATACATAAATATATATACACACAATACATATCTACAAATAAAACATATATATAAAAAAAATATCTATCTACAATAACAACTAACCATATACACATGCATACATAAAAAATACAACAACACTCAAACCAAATACATACATAAACGTACTAACATATAGATACATAAATATACCTTCAAAAAAACCAACACACACCAATACACATATGTCTAACATACAAATATATAAACACAATCATACAAACAGAAATATACTTAAATATAGATATATACAATAAAATAGGATATACAGATATATATATATATATATATATATATATATATATATACACACACACAGACATATATATATACAAATATATAGTATACAAACCCGAATTAGGGAGGCACTCAGTGAGGAACTAATTCATTACTCGGTCGCACCCAATCCCTGAACCATGCTGGCCAACCATTATAAATTGATTTTATGATATATATACATATTATTTATACATATACACACACACACACAAACATACATATACACACATACATACATATATATATGTACATATATATATATACAAACAACACACACACACATATATATATATATATATATATATATATATATATATATATACATATATATATATATATTTACATATATACATACATACATATACACACACCCATATACAATGTACATATATAGCACACACGCATATATATAGCGAACAAATTAACCTCTTTTTAATCTACTATACCTTCCCACCTAATATATATACATATTACACACACACTCACATATATATACACATACACACCACACATATATATATATATATTTATACAAAAAAAAAAAAAAAAAACAATAATAAATACACATACACCAACCTACA